ATCTTCCATCTCTTTTTAGAGGTGAAAAAAAACCCTGTAAATCAACTGCTTTTTCTATTACTTGCAGCAGCAGACAGTTACTTTGGTCTCAGTTCTGAGTCAATGCAAAGTCGATAGCCAGGCAAGATGTTCCACACTTCGTATGCAGCAGCATTCATGCATTTTTCCAGAAGTGAATTCCTACATGCCTCCCAGCACGTAGTGAACAGGGTCTTACAATACATGAAAACATCACATGCATGGGAGTCTGAATCAAGGAAGTACAGACGATTGTGATATAATGAGACTAGAAGTAAACACTGGTGATTCTGAGATCTCCACCGAGTGGTTTTAATATTCTCCGTGTACCAGAATAGGGTGGTTTTGTAACAGGCGCGCTTGGGCTTGGCTTCGGCACGCTGGGGGTTAAACGGAGCGCCAGACTCTCCGGCGAGAGGAGGGCGTGGCCGCGCAGGCTGGTGGGCGGATCCGCGCGACGTGATTGGCTGCGCCGCGTGTTGCGTCAGGGATTCGGGCGGAGCCACGTCGCCGTGACGCAGAGACGGAGGGGCGTGTCAGGAGGCGAAATCAGCTGTGGAAACAATAACACTTCAACGAGACCCCCTTTTTACACACATACACACACTCACACACACAAAAACGGCATGTTTTACACAGCAGTGTAATCTGAAGGTAAAGAAGCTCAAAGTTGAGGGAAGCTGGAGTGGAAGGTGCAGCGAGGGTCACTTCTGTGCAGAGAAATAACTTCTTTTTAGCGAGCTAGCGGAGATGATGCCTCCTCGTTCGTGACAGGGGCGAGATAAAGCAGAGCCAGTGTCTTCACGGCGCTGCGTGTGCATGTGTGCGCGTTTAAAGTCGTTTCAAGCTTGCTGACCTCCTCCGCCCCGGTTTAACGGGAGCAGGGAGCGGACGACGAGCGGACTGGCATGTGGGTCAACTCCGGAACCGTCGGAAGGTAGGCTGGGGGGAAATGTCAGCGGTGTTGTGGACCAGTCACATGTTTTACCTCACGATACAACGGCTGTGGGACCACTGGAACTGAAACACGAAGCTGAAGTTAGCTTCGAATTTCCCCTTCCACCTTAAACGGTGCAGCAGTTACAGGCGCCAGAATGCAACCGCTGCACCGTTTAAGGTGGAACGGGAAATTCAAATAAGACGCTGGCGAAGAGGAAGCCAACTTGAGAAACTGAGGCTCCTTGTGTGACAACATTAGCCTCGACTGACTACCAAAACCGGCTGTTCAGCCCTGCTAGACTTCCTTTGTACGCCTGTTGTAGCCGTAGCCGACAGTATGTTGCTATGCTTCCTCAGCATCAGCCTCCTCAGCGCACAGTGCCACAGTACTTGTACTCTCTCTTTCTCTCTCCCTCTCTCTTTTCCTTTTTTCCCCCGCCTCGGTCGCGCGCATGGGCTTGGCTCCGCTTTGCTGCATCTCTTTTCTTACCCGTAGCAGCAAAGCAGCGCTGGTTACTTCGCCAAAAACAGAAAATCACACATTTCTCAAAGCTTAGGTAATCTTCTTCTATGTCTAAGGCGAGAAATCCTCTTAGCGAGAGCGCTTGCTGCTCATTGTATTTCTCAATGAAACGCGTTCTCAATGAATACTGAATTGTTGCAGCTTGGAAATATGAATGGGGGTGGTCGTGGTGGTGCTGCTAGAGGAGGGGGTATCAATGGCTGCCCACAGATGTCTCACATTACACCTATTCACCTGATGTAATCACCTGAAATTCTGCAAATACTCCGAGGATGATTTTTCTCTTTACAGATTGCAAGCTTGGTTGAGTTTTATTCATTCTAAGACATGGGGGGGCAGCTTTTAGTACGGTCATCGTCATCTGAGGACACTGAAATAGAAATTTTGTTTATTTATTTATTTATTTAATTTTTATAACCAAGTCTTCACAGTGATGTGATTCTGAAAAGCAGAAGTCGTGATTTAATCATCTGTAAATGTCCAGCTCTGCCAGACTGGCTGTGCATTGATATTGTACATTGTCATCAAGCATTACTGTTTAAGCATGTCTGCAAATATCTTCACATCCACCCTTTCCATTCAGTCACTCCGACGCCAGTCTTGTTCTGTTTTATAACAGGCTTATAAAACTTTAAGATTTAGTCTCATGGACCAGGATTAAGCCGAGTCTTGGACTGCACTGCGTTTTGAATGGAAATTCTCCATTGAAAGGAAGATCCAGGCTTGCTCCCTGTCTGGGAAATAAACCCTAAATATTGCAACTTTTAATGTGCTAATTTAAGTCGTGTGCAGCAGTAACCTATGACAGTGTACCCCAGCCAGTTTCATCTATATTAGCAGTGGTTTTCTTTCTTTTCACAAATGAAGACAGTCATTTTCTCCACTTTCCTCAGTGATCATTTTGTGATTTTGTAAAACGTTTCCACGTCACAGCCACTGCCATGAGGATCAGCAGACTTAGGTAAATGAGCAGACTTACTGGCAGTGGATATTTTTGATATTTATTGCAAAAACAAACACCTGGCAAATAAGCAGCAAATAAGTAAATAAATAAATATTTAAATGCATCTCTTATAGGTAGATCAACTTGTTTGCCGTGGTTAATGATATCGGAATCATATCGGTAAAAATAGCGGCATCGAGCAGATAATTATATGTGACTTAAACTTCAAATCGATATTTAATGATGTGTTTATTGTTCTCTGAAAAAGCAGAACATTTAGGCAACGCTGGGCTGGTGAGCGTTGTATTCATTTTACAGCATTTGTAACACTCTGGTTATAAATGTTAGATTTCTCGGTAGTGCTATTCCAGGTCGAAGATAATTTCTACATTTTATAAATTGTTATATATAGATATCAACACTGGCAGAGACACTACATGGCCAAAAGTATGTGAACACCTATGCGTCGCACCCATATGGGCTTTTTTGACATCCCAGAACTATGTGTATTAATATGGAGTTGGCCTCCACTATTCTGGGAAGGCTCTCCACAACATTTTGGAGTGTGTCTGTGGGAATTTGTGCCCATTCAGTCAAAAGAGCATTTTAAGGTCAGGCACTGATGTTAGGTGAGAAGGCCTGGCTCGCAATCGACGTTCCAGTTTTTTCCAAAGGTGTTCAGTGGGGTTGAGTTCAGGCCTCTGTTCAGGCCACTACACATCAGACCATGTCTTTATGGAGCTCGCTTTGTGCACAGGGGCACAGTCATGCTGGAGCAGGAAACGGCTTTCTAGCAGGACAGGAATTTCACTAACTGACTTGTGGCAAATGTTGCATCCTATGACAGTGCTAAGTTTAAAGTCACGGAGCTCTACTGCCAGTGTTTGTCTGTTGAGATTGCAAGGGTATATGCTTAATTTTATCCATCTGTTAGCAGTGGATGTGCCTGAAACACCTGAACTCAATAATTAGGAGGGGTGTCTACATAACTTTGGCTATATAGTGAATGTACATGGAAAAATATCTGGCATCTGCCTGCGGTTCACATATTATATGCATCCCTAGCTTCCATGTATTTTGAATACAGATGCTCCCAACTAGTGTGCTCTATATGAACTCTACAGACAAAAAAGGAGCCGAATTTTTTTGATGTTCAGAAGTTGAGAAACGGTATTCTGAAGTGTTTAAAAACGTTTGGAGTCTTCATGAGTGATGTGATGTGTTGCCATTGCACATTGTCCCAATAGATATTGTGTGAAATCTATTGGTGGTTTTGAGGTCTGGCTTCCTCTGTGCAAAACCTCAGGCAGTTCACAATGACAATGTAGATTGATCTCAGATCAGCAAAGAGGCTTAACCTCTGCTAGAACAGTCTGAAAGCAACCTTTGGCAGGGGCTTTGGAACTGAAGGAAGAAGTCTCGGCCGGCAGCCAGCCTTAATGAGCCCTTCTCTCTGTCCTTGGCCGAGTTCCTCTTTGGGAGCAAAGGTGCAGTCGTGTTTGGAGAGCATCTGACAGCCGAGGTCCGCAGAGGCCCCTGTGAGACTGCGCTGGCTGGTTAAACATTGGAGAGCAGTTACTTGGCAGGTTGCTACGATGTCCACCAATGTTTTGATCCTGGCTTTTGGTACTTGCACACGTTCTTGCACGTAGCTGAGATGCCTTGTGAACACACATTGTTATGCACCGTCTGAAGCCTCTTGGCTTGTTTTGTGTCATTTACAAAGTGTGATTGTGAAGGAGTGGGGCAGAAAAAGACAGTGCTCTTTTGTGTGCTTGGCTTAATGGATATATTTCAAGGGTGTGGAGAGAAATCTCAAAACAGAATGAGTCACTTGGTTGCTCTGTGTCCTTATCAACACCCTTTTGAAAATAGAAGGGTTTTTTGGAGCAGGACCGTAGACAAACCACTTTTGGTTGTCTGAAAAGCCTTTGGGTCATTCTTTACACCATCATCTTTGAGCAGAGATAACAGATTAATATACTTACTCACATCAAAAATAGAAAAACTGTTGATGTTAAAGTGCCAACCACAACAGCTTTTGGTGGTGTAAATGAGCTGCGCGAGTGTGAAAAACCTTTTTAAAGTTTAAATGTAAAGGTTGTATATCAATTAAAGGCTTTTCTTAGAACTGTGCATCTAAGCCTGGAACTGTTTAGGAACGTTTTATTCTATCAGCACCTTGATGGTATCATGCCGACAGTTGATTTGTGGGTCAGAGTAATAGCTGTTTATATTGATCTCTGAGCTGCTATTATACATGTCACGTAAGTAAACATGCTGTTCTTCACCAAAGTGCTACGTGAAGAATCGTGATATCAATTCTGAGCAACAAAATAATAAGCGAAGATCTTGGTTGCTGTGTAGCAAGATGCTTCCCTTTCAACCTGTTTACTAGCAGGCCACTGGGTTATGTAACCAGTCTGCACTTGCCTTGCCCATGGCAGCGGCTGTCTTTACATATCCTCTCCCAAAACATTGAAGAGCACAGCTCTGCAAATCCAGTCCAGTATATGTGTGGCATGAGTGCAAGTTGGCAAGCCAGTTAATTCTTACATTATTACAGATATACTGTGAGCTCACCACATGTAGACAGTTGTATCATCGTTATATGTTTTTTTATCATGTCTGTCGATGCGTGTGCTGGATTCTTTTCCTTCTGGGCGTGAATGTGTGAGTATTGGTGTATTTGTGCAGATTTCGTAATTTGACGTATGATGGAGTGCGCGTGTCTGGAGTCTACCCCTCTGGGCCGCACGCAGACGGTTTTGCTTTGTTGTAGAGCGCTGTGGATCCTGGTTATGTGGCAGCAGGGCCGGATCATTCTCTGCCACTGGAGCTGTTACGTAACACACACACACACGCATACACACGCGCGCTCATGCTGCGCCAGGGAGGGGGTGAGTCTCCCTCCGTCTATCTGCTGCCCTGCTTTTGGAGAGAGAGAAAGAGGTGCAGCAGAGATACAGAGAACAAAAAACAACTTTGATGAAGCACTGTTGAAGGAATTCACCAAAATCAGAGCCAGACATGATGGTAGAGTTTTTTTTTTTAATGCACTGACATAGGAATTGTGGGCCAAAGCCAATATCTGTTTATTTTTCATGTACATATCTGTCAATGACACTGTAAATGTTTGTAAAATGTACAATGCATTGCCATTTCAGAAAATCTAACTTGCAGATGTAACACACTTAAACGTTCAGCTCCTCCAGAGTATAATAAATATGGCATCAAATGTCAGTTTAAGATATTGATCAAAGCTAAACTGTTGTTCAGTGGCAGTAATTTTTTTAAGCAATCTGCAGATATCATTATATACCAAAATTATCGTGCATCCCATGTATCTCAACTAAAGACTTTAAATGTACTTTAATTTTTAAATCAGTGTAGAAGCTGTTGAAACATAGAAAGAAACAGAGATTTAGTCCATCCTCATGCCATGATACTTCCCACTCTTCCTAAGTGGACACACATATAGCTTTCAGAAACAAGGCTTGGCTCAGCTGAATTGAGCAGAAGGCCTATTGTGTGGGCAGTGGAATGTTTGTGAATGGAGTAGGCGTCTTCTTCCCTCTCTTTCTCTCTCTCTCTCTCTCTTATTCTCTCCTCCCTTCACCCACACTTCTCATCTCTCAATACGTGCCTTTTTTTGCGCTCTCTCTTTCTCTACTCCCTCCCCTAAAGCACCTTGACTCTGTCTATATGTGCTCTATATGCTACTAACTTTATTACTATCAAGGCTTCAACATACTGTTGGTTCTCTATGTTAGAGCACTTTGACTCAGTCTACTGATGCAGTTAAAAGCATTACAGGATACACTGATACCTCTGGCGACATGGCTTTGTACTGTACACAGTGTGAGTGTGTGTTCTGTTGTGTGAGGCTGCACTTGTCGGTCAGCTGATGGAAGTGAAACTCAACGCTGGTCCTAAGGTGTCTGGTTTCTGGAACTTTTTGAGTTCTCAGGTAGTGTGCATGCAGCAAGGACAAGTATGTGCTAGGGCTGACCCAAATAATCAGAATACCAGAGTATTTGTTATGTTTGTATTTGTTGCCTTATTTATTATTCTGAAGTTTTGTCTTTTTCTAACCAGCAAGAATTGTAGAAAACTCTTGTGAATTCCTGACTGTGTTCAGAGGTTTATTTGTCACTGTTTTACATGAAACATTTTATCATAAAATCAGCAAATATGGTAAAAACTTAATGACAGATGTGATGTTAGGCTAAGAAAAATCATATCATCCCCAGGTAATCTTAGCTAAAGGCTGAACACAACCACACACAACCACGATTTCCCAGTGTCACCCCTTAGTGAAAGTCATTTAATGGCAAAGAGCATTTAAACGAAAAGAATAAGCCAAATGCAAATTAATTTGTTTGGCTAATGTTTTGTTTGGTTGTTAAACAACATTCATGTGAAATCACTTGTTTAAGCACCTGGAACTAAAAGATAGACAAACAGAGATAGTAAGCCGATTTATCCAGTTCCCTTAATATGAACAGTCGTAAATCTGTACGAATTTAGAATAAAACCCCAATCCATCAATCCTGAACAAGATGTGTATTCATCTGTAATTTATTTCACTCGCAATGGAATTTATCTTGGACTACTAAGTTGGCACTGGAACATGAGCTTTGGCAATCCATTTAATAAACCAGCTAAACTGACTACAATCATTGTTAAACAAAGATTTTAAAGGATTTACGTCTTGAACTTGCTTTTGTATTATTGCTGCTGTAGTCTTGTGCCAAAGTTTGAACACCCCAATTCAACTCATGATAAATTTCTAAGTGAAAATATGTTAATCTCTTTATTTGCTGCGTTTCACATATTTGGAAAAAATAAAATATAAAATGGGCCATGAATTTTACACAGGCCACGTTTTATGTTTTTTCCACAAAATGTTGGCTTTACCAACTAAGCTAAACAACTAAAATTGTGCATTAAAATATGCAAAGTGTGTTCTTTGTAGAAGGTGTATGCTTATTTTTACTTTCACAAAACATATTTTTGACCAGAGTGTGCCCAAATCTTTGCATACGACTGGTGAGGTAGCTTTGCGACAACATTACAGCAGCTTTTTATAGAAAGTTTTATAGAAATGTGGGACGTGTAACAGTGCATTGTGATATCGCAATGCAAAACTGTGGCAATGCATAATTTTGCATTGTGACAATGCATATTATTTGGACATTCATGCAGTTATTAGTTGCATGAACATCAAAGTTTGCAAACAGTCAGCACCAACAACAGCTCACTCTAGTGCCCCTCTTGCCTCCCAGCTATATTTTATATAAGTACTCGTTCAGAAACACCAAAGAATATTAAAGCCTGTTAAATGCTGTTTGGCCCAGGCCAAGATTGTTGCTGTCCAAAGAAAACATGTACCTTCAAATTAGTAATTTTAGAGGAGAAGTCAAAGATGTTCTTAACTGTTTATGTATGTTGTTGTAAAGAGGTTTTATTCAAAGTGATATTGGAGCATATCTGTTGGTCCGTTCATCATGAACGTTTTTACACAGTGTTACGTTTAACAACGTGTTTTCATTGTAGGCCGGAAAAGGCCAGTGTGTTGGTAAAGCACAGTAATGGTATCATTCTCTGGTGAATAACAGTGAAATTAGCCTGATTGCCTGAAAGCCTTAGCTGACCTCCAGCGTGCTATGTTTCCCCAGCTCAGCCCCAGACGCAGTGCCACAGCTTGCCATCTAAAGGGAAAGAGGGGAAGAGACAGGGAGACTGTAGGGTTGAAATGCCCCCCCCTTCTCTCTCTCTCTCTCTCCCTCTCTCTCTCTCTCTCTCTCTCTGTCTGTTGTACTCTTGAGAAATTGTCTGCTGTGGGGTTACATCACACATTACTCTGTTGCTCTGTCTCTAAGCCGATTAGTGGCCTGCAGAGAGAGAAAAGGAACGAGAGAGTATGTGTCCATTGCACTTTCAGTCTGAATAAACACAGTCAAAGCGAACAGAAATGGCCACCACGTGCATCTTGCATTATAAGCACTAAATCAGTAAAATCCCCAGGCATTTTGGCCAGGCAGGCCTGGATTAAGTGAGAATAACAGGAAAGTAACATTACATAGCACAATATGATACATCTTGTTTTCTGTAGCTTTATACCAGACCAAGGGTGAGGTCATTAAAGCGCTGTCTCACTATGTTTTCACTGCCAAAATGTAGAAAGCTAGGTCAGTAGAGAAACTAGGCCAAGTATTCCTTTATCTGCTATTTTTTGCTGTTATCATGAAAGTTATCTCCATAACTGCTTATCACTACTTTACAACACTTTAGAATGCATGTCATTGCCACGTAGTTGGTATGACTAGTATAAAGATGATGCAGTAACTCTCACTCTTGGCTAAACAACATATTGCCCTCATCCTGTGTGAGGAAGGTGTCTTGAAAGTAGGTCTCATCAGCGTTTATGTTTACAAACTCCTCAGAAACTTTCTGGAACAGCCAATTCTTTGAAATGGAAACATCAAGGTAGGCTGCTTCTTCTTAGCACGCATGATTACCAGGGTGAATGGTGATTAAATCTTGGAAGTGAGGTGAAGCATAAGAAAAAAAAGGCGCATATAGGGGGGAAAACAGTATGTGCCTAACTAATATGCTATAGAAGTCAAATCTCATTGATAGAAGATTAGAAGACTCATCGATGGAAGACTGGAACATCTGTCCTTCATTCATTCTGCTTTCAGCATTGTGGTGAATGACGCTGAGCCGGTGCGGTCTGCCTTCTCATCCTCGAGAGACGTGAATGGAGGAACGGGCAATTGTTAAGCGCTGAAAAGATGGCTCGTGTGTCCGTCTGAATAGGATCCATTTTTAGACACCCCCCAGCCTGGCATCGGAGGTCACACCAGTGACGTCTTTGTCAATGGAATAATAAGCAGTGGCCCTATCAATCTTTCATAGACGCTTTTTATGGAACCTCAGCAGAGCTAGATCGCCGAGCTCGTCACTACTCATGATACAGATAGCTGTGTCCTTTGCTGAATAGAATGCCCTGCTTGCCGGTGGCTTGACTTAGCATGAGGCCTTTTTTAAGTGTAAGCATTTGAGGCATTTAGTTTGCAGAAATGCCTGTTAACCCATTAATCCTCAGGCAGACATGCACTATTTCTGTCTTTTAATCTGCTCTTCTCTTTAAATAACATGATTTCTCAATGCTGTTTTTGCATTTACTTTGATAGGAAATGAACTTGATCTAATATTACTGAAATAATAGATTTTTTTTCAAGCAAAACAAGCAAACGCTTCGGTCAGCTTTCTGTGATGACACAAATAGTAATAATCAGTTATCAGATCCTAGTGATTTGAGTTCCATTCTGAATGTGTGCTATCACAGTGCATCCAGCAATAAAGGCAGCGTAGTGCTTCTTTTATGTAGTGATATATATATGTGATTTCACAGTAGGGCACAGAGAGCTCCAATTCCAAATGCTGATACATTTCGCTGTGACCAACATATTAATTTGTAATTCTAAGAAAGTTTTAAAATATGTAAAATCAACTTCAACCTCTCCTTTTGGGTCTTCTTCTTGTATTATGACCCCCTTCCATCATGCTTTTATTTTGCCTTCAAACACGGATCTACACACCTCCATCGGTCTTTTGCAAGTGTGTTTAGCCTACTCACGGTGACCTAATGACTCAGCATAGCCAGTTCCTTCTGCTAACACCTTGGTAACCTCTTCCATCCTTTTCTTTGGCATGAGAAAGAACACTGACTACCTCTCACAGCTTAATCATGTTAGAGCCTGCAAAGGGCTTTTTTTGTTGTTGTCATGGATATCAAGTTACAGCAGTATGTGCTGTCATGCATGCTTCTCAGTAGTCCATTCTAAGAACATCCCTTAAGAAGGTAGTGCTTTTTTTTTCCTCATTCCCTGCACAATGAGAAGCAGTCTTGATGAGGATGAATGCCTGGGTGTATGTGTATGTGAGTGTGTGCATGAAAGCACAGGCTTTCTTGTAATCTGCTGTAGCAGATGGGAGCCATGCGCACTTTTCCAAAATAAACTCTGCCACTGGGCTTTGCTCTCTGCTAGCAGCCTCAGCTTTCACGGATTCTCAGGTAGACCATTCTGTCGCTCTGCAAAAGCAGAGGAAAACTGAAGTGAGGGGTGCATGTGTTTGTGTTGTTTTTGAACTTCAGCCTTTGGAAGAGTGTATTAGCAAGCACTCAGTTCTCAGAACCGTTTGGTTGTTTTATTATGGAGACAGAAATAGCACCCTGATTAAGATCATAAACATTTGGTGGAAGGATAGTCAGGGAGCTTTCAGCCTGTGTTTTTTTTTATTAATTTATTTTTTTTATTTATTTATTATTAACAGTGAACAATCCATATGGATGGTCAACTCAGGACACGTTCCTTGCTGATATTTTATGCTGACATAGCTTATGATATGACCGAACAGATATTTGCAATTATATTTCCAAAATTGGCAAACTTTTTCCCGATAACCATGATCATACTTCACGTATCTCTGTCTCTCTCTCTTTGCACAGGGCCCTCTCCATGGATATAGACACAGACTATGAAAGGCCTAATGTGGAGACCATAAAGTGTGTGGTGGTGGGCGATAACGCGGTAGGTAAGACCCGCCTAATCTGTGCACGCGCCTGCAACGCCACCCTCACCCAGTACCAGCTGCTCGCCACCCACGTGCCAACCGTTTGGGCCATCGACCAGTACCGTGTGTGCCAGGAGGTGGGTAGGCCTGTGCCGTGTTGTATATATTTTGCACAACATATTGGAATGTACACAAATATAATATGGTACTATTGTTACAACCCCAAGGGAAGCATGCTACGTAAAATGGGTGTTAATTTTGGCTCCAAAAAAAACAAGTGTTCATTTCGTCAGCAAAATGGATGACTAATTCATTTAGCTTTAATGTCAGACTAAAATATGCTGAGGCTAGGTGGTGCAGGTACATAAGTTGACATTTCAGTGTGTATACCAGTCTCACAAACAATTAGGCTATTCAGTTTTTTACAGTATTAAAATTACATTGAATTCCTTGGAATTACAACAGAACCTCTCAGGACTAGGCATATTCATTAATAATGTATACTGCAATATTCAGCTCACATGATATTGGTATCATGGTGTGTTATTGGTCTGAGCACCTTCACAGTTCATGGTAAAAGTATATTTGATATATTATCTAGAATACCAAGGGTCTCAAATTTGCCCACCAAACATAAATGTAGGGGAAACCAAAGACATGATGCCATGTATGATGCCTGTCAAAAAAACAGAATTCCAAAAGTTAATGGAATGCCATTATATAAAGAGAAGGGGAAGTTTTTTCAAAGTCATAAAACTCCAAAATGTCTAATCACACACTAATTGCTATTTCATATTCTCATATCAGAACTAAGACTAATTTTAAAAAATGGAAAAATGCCCTGTTTTTTAATTGACATACTGGTATCTAAGGTCCATAGTTATAAACACATAAAACTTCTCACTAACATAAAAATAGGAGAAAATTGAGGTAGACTGGAATACTAAAAAGCTATGTAGTACTCCTACAGCTAATCTGCCATAGTGCCCATGTATTTCTTTTACATAATAAATAGAGAAAAGTGTTCACACAATAAGTCGTTGAATTATGAGATCAACTAGATCAGAATTTACAGATCATCTAACCAAGCACGCAAGTTTAGTGTAAGCAGTTTGGCCTCTGCTATGATTAAGAATTCTCTTAGCTGGAGGTTGAAGCCCGTCAGTCATGACTCGTCTTAAGGCTACACCAAAACAACATGGTTACATCTTATTAAAGTTCCAGCTACCTAACACAATACATTTACATTTCAACTGAAGACTTCCTACATAGGTAATTCATACCTTTTACTGAAGCATTGCGTAACATATTTACAGAGCAATACTTGAATATCTATAAACATTTATAACAGCTTATGCCAGTAATCACAAGACATAAGGGCCCTTAAACTGAAGTATCAGACATTTTTTCTGTTCGTAATACTGTCATTCACATCGTTCCTAGAGATCAAGTTAAGAGCTCCATGTATATTAGTTCAGTGAAATATTTTGATGCCTTTAAGCTCAAGTGATATTTTTATGTATATTTTACTTTATGTACGAACATATTCCTGGACACCTGTACTTGAGTAAAAGTAGAAGTACCCTTGGTCAAAAATTATTACACTAAAAGGAGTCCCCTGTCTGTATGTTAATAGAGTACAAAAGCACAAAATGACTTAAATGTACTTAGGTATTCAAAGCAAAAGTACTTTGAGTCATTACAGATATTATATTATTTTGAAAAACAGTTTAAGTTAAGACTGTGTGGCTGCAGAGATGGAAAACACAGTTATCTGTTCAGTGTGCAGCCTTAACAGAAACTGCATTTTGTACTTTAACTCTGATAGAAATATATCAGTTTTAGATATATGGTTTCAGATTTCAGGCCTCTGGTTTACAATACATGGGAATGATGCTGTATGACTGTGTTATAACTTAAACAAACGCTAGTGCAAGGCCCCTTAGGTCAATGCAATGCCATTCACATCTTCAAACATTTTATGTCATCTTTAGGCAATGATTAATTGTCTTATAAATAATTGCAATTAATAATTTGTCTTTTCTTGTTCACTGTATACATCTATAAAGTGCCCAGATTGGCTTATTAGCCATCTTGCTTCCTATCTCTGTTTACTTAGTTGCTAACACTGGTAGTGCTGTCGAATTGATGCACCACACTGTTGGGCACAAACACAAACTCTCACACATATGTCTCAGTGTGTAGTCAAACAGAGCTTTTTTTCTTGAAAGTGAAAATATAAGCAAAAAAAGCTCTCATTCTGTTAGAATACATGCTAAAACATTAGAATTCGCTACATAGCAAGCAAGTGAACAAATATTACTGTCATCTAAATGTGTTAAAGCACAAAGGTAGAAGTTAGAATTTTTTTTGATTACGTAATTTTAAAAATAGATTTTCATTTTTAAAGATTGCATTTACAGTTTTCTTGTATTTACATTTATTTGCACAACACATCTAGTTCACATTTTGCTTATTGCTTGTTAATATTATTGTGAAATATAATGACTGTGGAAAATAACTGCAGTCAGCCTAAATAATTGTGATCATCTCAAATAACTGCGATCATTTAGAATAATTAATTATGTAATTGTGTAATAATTGTTACAGGCCTACTTGTGAGTACTGGTGTAAGCTGTTTTTAAAAATTCAAGAAATTGCTTTTCAGATTCAAGTATTGCTTTATATTTAATGATTGTGCATGTCTTACAAAGTCCCTTTGTAGGTAGCCTTCAAGTAAAGTGTTACCCACATGCCTAAACATACACAAACTAAAAAGCTGAAGCATCAGTATTGTGCAAATCTATAGTCATAACACTATACTGTGTATGCACTTTTAGATATGCTAATAGAGAGAATACTGCCTGGCCTAGCCCGTTCACATTCACAGTTCAAACGTGCATTATTAATATCGCCACACAAGGAGATAAGTTAAAGAGCTAAATGTGTTTTCTCTCGTTTCTAGGTGTTGGAAAGATCTAGGGATGTGGTGGATGAAGTCAGCGTGTCCCTCAGACTGTGGGACACATTCGGAGATCATCACAAAGACAGACGTTTCGCTTATGGCAGGTCAGTGGAACATCATGACCTTTACTCTCTGCTCCCCACTTCACACCCCGCAATCCATCTTTAGTCTCACCTGATCGTATTCTCTCATCTTCCCTCACTCTTGCTAATGGTACTTGTAGTCCTGCCAAGGTTTGGTTACCAGCATAATCCTCCTGGCTGGCTCACTAATGTACCATAAGCAGGGCCAGTTGGGCCGCGTGGAGGCTCTTATTTGCCGGGCAGGGAAGGATCAGTAGATCAGCCTTGCTATTTCAGCTTAGTGGCTATTAGTGAGGATCCCATAGGGGAGCTGCGCCAAGGGGAGAAGGCAGGCCAGTGGGCGATATGGCAAAAACTAAAACATCACAATATTTTCAACATACCAGATATGTAACATTTTATTTGTCTGAGTGTTGAGAAGAAGTTGGAAAAGACAAAATGTACCAGCTAAATAGTTGTGCCACATTAGAAGAGAAAAAAGGCCTAAAAAAAATAATAATTGTCCAAATCTAACAGTCAGCAAATCATTTTAATGGTAATTAAAATGAGAAATACTGATTAAAAATATTTTTTTTTCCTTTGCTCTCAGCGCAGACACATTCAGACTGTTAAAGCAGCAGCAGATCAACAGTGAAAATGTTAACCATGTGGAACTATTCATTTTCTGTGAGGGACATTAGACAAGTCATGTATAATCACTGTCCATGCAAGACAAGTACAAGTGTGAGAACTTATCCATAACCAGTCCATTAACAAAATTAATGACCCCATGCTTCCTATATACTGAAACTCTAAAAGAAAGTCCTACAAACCTGATAGCTTGTTTTTATTGGACTTTTTTGTTCAGTTTTACTTCTGTACAATTCATACTGAAGGGAAAGTCACAAGTAAATGTTAAAGCTACATTATGTAAGTTTTGAGTATTTATTTACTGGGTAAATATCTTGCATAGTGCAGCTTTAACCAGAAACCATTTTCAGAAAGGAATTACTGTTTATTTACTTTCTTATAGAATTTTTCAAAATTTGTGCATGATTAAAGGGTTGATTTGTAAACAGAGTTATTGATAGTGGTTTAATGTAAATTCCCCCCTTTAGAGAAACTTCTTCACAGTGGTGGTGACAGTGGTGGTGAACCGGACATCTAAAGAGTGTAATGCATCTAAAAGCTACATCACAGAAGGCTGTTACACTAAATGCAAACAAATACATTACTCTTTTGTCTGAGACATTGTTTTAAATGTGTGTGTTACAAATTCTGGTATCGAGTATCGACCTGATATCGTGCTCTTTTACTCGTACTCAGCCAATACCACCTTACACTGTGTGACATAAGCCTAGTGTATGCTGCCCTGCTAATGTACACATGACTTAGGCTGGCAGAGAATGAGGGTTTGCTTGCACAGCGAAGTGTTGCTGACACCGTGGCAGTCAGTTACTGGTCACTTTAAACTCTTTTCTACTACAAAGCTACTTGATCCAATGTAACTAATGTAATTTAGCTAGCTAATGCACTTCATTTAGCATCAGCTAGATTTTAATGATTTATCTGTTAAAGTACATTACAGTGATTCATATTAACTACACCTACATTTTGATTAGGTTGTTCATGGTATCAGTATTCGGCAAGTACTAATAAACTTGTACTCGTACTCTTGGTCTGAAAAAAATTATATCTGTGCATCCCCAGTTTTGAGAAGATTTCAGACTGATATAGATTCAGACTAAATATATTTTTTAATACATTCATGGTGGAGAGGTACCATTTTACCATCAACAATACTTCTTATAAAAACTCACATGTAGGTTCACTTGTCATTTTGGATAGTAAATAAAATGTCTATATTTGCGTTGTAGACTTTGTGACCCCTGGTTCCTGTCACCACCACTGTAAAGAAATCTGAGTCATTGAGTTTCTCTACAATACACAGTTTCACATTAAATGGTTTTACAGCAAAGTCACTCTGATGATTTTGTTTACATCTAAAAGACTGCATTATGTAGAAATTTTGAAAATTGGTGGAATTCCCCTTTAACTAAGTTTAATCAGTACTGCTTGAACAAAAAAATCAACTGTTATGTGACACCGACACCGGTGTAGATGATATTTCACCCAGCACTAAGCCCTGGCTTGTGCGTGTGTGTGTGTGTGTGTGTGTGTGTGTGTGTGTGTGTGAGACGCATCCAGAGTGTGAGTGCGCTGGTCAGGCTACTGCAGTCAGCTGATAAGTGACACTGCCAGCTCAGCTGTTCCGCCCTCACCCGGATGGGCTGGGCAGGACTTAGTGGGACTAATGTCTCTGTCCTGTTGTGGAAACAGAGCAGCAGATATCCTTCCTCCCTCATCAGCTTCTAACACACACACAAACACTGTAAGCGCCTCAGCCAATGTTTCTCTTCACTCACTGACTTAGATTGTAATCAACGGATGATAAATTCCTAGAAGTACTTTTGGATATGCTTAACTCTGCCGTTGAGCGTTATAGGAGTAAACAATTTTGTTTAATCATCAAACATATGAAGAGGCTGATAAAGCCTCAGTGCTCCTTACTTGGCACAGAGCCAAGGTAAATCCTCACAAAGAGTGACTTCATGCAGAACTTGGCTGTTACGATTGCTCGATTAAACTCCGTTAAGCTCAATTACTCAGTTTAAAAAAATCTTTTAAAATTTTCCTTGATAAATTGACAGTGATCACTTAGCAGTTTGCACAATAATAGCACATATTTTATGTTTACAGTATGAAACAGAGCCTCTTGGACACACTCATTCATGTGCAGATTTGCCACATACTGTCATAGTGTATTTTTACATTTAGATTTTCTTTATAGGCTTTCTAATCTTTGAAAGATTGTACACAACCTGATTAAAGGGCCTGTATCATGGAAACCTGGAACACTTTTTTTAAATGAAAAGTTATGAAATAGTTTAATGTACTGTGTTAACAATGCTAAAGTTTCAAAACAGTTCGCTCCCCAGTCCTTATGGCCCCATATATGGAAACTAAGCTGCAAAAATAGCCTGTTTTTCTAAGTGAAAATAAGTATACATCCTGTACAGGGAACTAATTGTTGAACATACAGAAAAAAATATTACATAAAATATAAAATGTGCCACGTTTAATTTTTTTTCATTATATTAAAGTCAGTAAACAAGCAGTGCATTAAACTGTGTTAACTTTTTAAACTAGCAAAACATGTAATTTGACCAGGAGTATTCAAACTTTTGCATACAACTGTACATGGATCTGTAAAAGTTACGTGTAAAACGTAATACATGTGTACGTGTAACGTGTAAAAAATATTTATGACTTGGCACTAAACATCATTAGTGAGCAAATAAAGTACAAGAAAGATGTCAGGTATAGGCCTTTTAATCATAAAAACAACTGGTAGATCACTTAATTACTAATGTAATCAATGGTGATAGGCCTATTTATTGGGTTAAGTGCAGTGTCAGCGATCTGAGATAGTCCCAGTTAACTCAGATGTTTATCTCAGAGCCAAGACCAAGAGTGTGTACAGTGCAGTCAGGCTGACAGAGTGGCAGGAGTTTGAACTTTGCCGCACTCCACGTCTCTCTCTCTCTTCGAGAAGCCAGACAATGGTTGCATAACACATTGCTCCTGACCTTTGTGATGTGCACTAAAAAAAACAGCAGTTCGTTATTCATTATGGCACATGGTAAATCATTGCTATGGACAGATATATATGTGTGTGTGTGTGTGTGTGTGTGTGTGTGTGTGTGGTTAGTGTTTTGTCTTAACTCTGACACACTTCCACATTTTCCCTGGTTCAAAACACATACATACGCATGCGGATGTGAACATTGACCTCTGTAGTCAGTTAGTCCACAGGACCATTTACATCTGCACTTACATATGAAATAATTAGATGAGACTCTGACTGAGTGCTGATGTGAGTTCCTCTCTGTGTGTGTGTGTGTGTGTGTAAAGGCCTTAAATGAACTGATGATGTGAGGTAATCACATAATGCTGAATACATTTAAAACAAAGATGATGCAGTGTTCCATAGCTTTTTCCTTCATGCGTATAATCACTGCCATATCACAATAAAGAATTCATGAGAAACGTACGAATAGAAATGGCTAAAAATGACATGGAACCAGTTGTTGGAAAAAAACAGTTTGAAGCGAATGGATGCGAATTGACTTCAATTGCGAATTGACAACAAGCTGAAATAAATATATTTTATAGTATAGTTTTGACACTTTAATGATTATAGTTCAAGAGAAAACGTAATATTTATCCAAAACTCGGAAAAATGATTGATGGGACCAAGTTCCTCATTTTTGCTAGCAGTGTCTTGCCTTAAAAAGGCTTAATAAAAAATATTTAAATACTGTATAAAGAAAGTTTAATAAGAGTTTTAAATGCACACAAAGACAGTCCTAATTTGGAATAAAATCTTAAAATACATTAAATTACATAAAGCTACGATTTTGTAGATTTGAGGTTTTTGTTATGATATCAACACTATGGGGGTCTATGTAAGCCCAGGTGCAGCTTCACAATTCAGCACAGCCTGAATAGAACACTATTCAGAGAATGGCAGTAGAGTAAAGAATGGCTTCCTGGGGGGCTTTAGGAACTAACATAACCGAGGGGATTCATATCCTACCTTTATAGGTAGCACAGGACCACCAACACACACATGCTATACTCATACAGATGGATTCATCACACATACAGTAGTTATTTATCTTGTTAATGCCTGCAGCGTGCACGCAACTTTGTGTGCTCACCTCATTAATTTATGTCTCGGGGAGGAATAGGCAAGCCGCCGTTAATAGGCGGTCTGTGCGTGCAGTGACCTGTTAAACTACAGAATGAAAAATCTCTTTGGGGATTGCCATTGTTACTGTCTTAACATCTGGAATCATTAAAACAAAAGCACAGTCTTGCATGTCTTTATTAGCACCCCTAATGCTATTTATAATTATTTACCATTTTCTGTTTGCTGTTTTCAGATGTTTCAAGACAAATAAACCATTATGCTCCAATATTGGCAGTCACTGCTAAAAGAGATGCCAATTCACAATATTAAGTATGTGTCAGGATATCATTGCTGTCGCATCGAAACCTTTTTTTGATTAGATTTTTTTTTTTGCATCATTTAAAAATTCCAAATTACATTGGCTACATCTTATGACTAATAGACCAACAGAAATGGTCTAAAATTATGATATTGTTACATTTACATTTACTTGCTTTTTTCTTCCCTCATGAAGTTTCATTTTGAAGATAAAAAGTTTTGTTATGACCACAACAGCATTTGACTATTTCACATCTGCAGTCAGTTATAAGCAGAAAAAAATGTATATTCAGGATTTTCACTCTTTGTTTAAGTTTATTGCTTCCTTTTACACAAAATCTCAGTAGTGCCATCTGCGCCTTTCAGGTCTGATGTGGTGGTGCTGTGTTTCTCCCTGGCCAACCCGAACTCCCTGCGCCACGTCCGCACCATGTGGTACCCCGAGATTAAGCACTTCTGCCCCCGCACCCCCATCATCTTGGTGGGCTGCCAGCTGGATCTGCGCTACGCTGACTTGGACGCTGTGAACCGGGCCCGTCGGCCCCTGGCCAAGTACGGCCCACTGCCCACACCCTCTCTCTCTCTCTTTGTCTCGCTCTCCCTCTCTCTCTCTCTCTTTTGTTCTCAAAATACCATCTTACTTTTGCTTTGCCAGAGTATTGAAATATGCACATTTAGAAATCAACTAATTAGAAGTTTGATGGCTTTTGATTTTGCTGATCACAGTATACTAATAAGCTGAACAATACATTTCATTTTCATGATGTGCCACTTATCACTATTAGTAAATCAGTGAATTTTAGCTCCAGTCCTGGGAACTTCACTGAGTGCAAGTTTGCCTTTTTTCTTCTCTCATATACTTTACGTTTTGAAGATCAAAAAGTTTTGTTATGACAGCAGCAATATGTCCAACAGATTGTTTCACATCTTGAGTCAATTATAAGCCAAAGCAATGTATATTTAAGGTTTTCACTGTATGTTTAAGTTAATTGCTTCCCTTTACACAAAATTTCAGTAGCATAATCTGCCCTTTTCAGGTATTTTCTGTCTTCTCTGTTCTAACACCTGACTTAGATTATATCATTATGATTGCTAGATGACATAACATATTTTATGAAGTAAATGACACTTTATTGATCCAAGCGGTCCTAAAATAAAGTTACAGATGTTGGTTCCATTTATACAGTTATAAAGCTTTAATCCTAAGTGATGGAACCTGAAAGTCAAAGGGCTAGTAAAAAGCTTGAGATATCAGTTCTGTGGAGGAATTTGATGCCCTTGATCTTCAGTGACAGTTTTCTTACGCATTTCCTCATATAAATGCACATATTCCTGTACTAAAGTACTTGGGGAAAAAGTAGAAATACCCATGGTAAAATATTACTTAGTTCTTTACTGCTTAGTAGAAATCACACTTTTGTACTTTAACTTGTACTTCATTGCATGTCTTCACACATTGTGATGAAGTTTCTGTGTAGGTTGCCTTCAAATAGTGTCACCATTTATTTTGATGCACTTGATTTTGCCGATTATAAAATAGTTTGCTCTCTCCTTCAGACCCATAAAACCCACAGACATCCTTCCACCAGAGCGAGGCCATGAGGTGGCTAAAGAACTGGGCGTGCCCTACTACGAGACTAGCATCGTTGCTCAGTTTGGCGTCAAGGACGTCTTCGACAACGCCATCCGCGCTGCCCTCATTTCCCGCCGCCACCTCCAGTTCTGGAAGTCTCATTTAAAGAAAGTCCAGCGCCCTCTCCTCCAGGCCCCCTTCCTGCCCCCCAGGCCGCCGCGGCCCGTAGTGGGCATCCCTGATCCCCCTCCCATGGACGGAGAAGGCCCCGACTCTCTCTTCTGCCAGCCCCTGTGTGCAGATGTGCTTTTCCTCCTCCAGGGTGGTGCCACTCGTGTTTTCGCCCATAAGGTCTATCTTGCTACTTCCTGCTCCAAGTTCTATGACCTGTTCACTATGGACCTCGGAGCTGCTGAGGAGGATAAGGATGGAGAGGACACCCTGGAGGGGAGTGAGGAAGAGGAGCAAAGTCGAAGAGGAGCCAAAGAGCAGGCAGGACGCACCAAGAGCCTGGACATCGATAAAGATGGTGAGGGAGGCGCCAGGGGTCCCAAGAGGCCACTCCTGCTGGAACAGGGCTCACTGAGGACTTCCCAAAGCGATAATGCCCTGCCGGCCAGGAGCCAGTGCATCATGGGTCCCCTGGGAGCCGGTCGTGCCCTTCTGGGATGGGGCCGGGGGTTCCTCGGTGTGTATCTGGAAAGAGTGGATGATCCAGTAACCAGTCGGCCAAGACTCATGACGGTCGTTTCCATGGACGAACTCATTCAGGAGGCACCTTTCCGGGTGAGTATACGGTCTTTAGATTATACGTGTTAGATTTTCAGTCCTGAAGGGCCACAGTGCTGTAGCAGTTAGTGTGCTTGTTTTTTTTTATTATTATTTGCTTAAACAAATCTTAAGTTGACTCATGATAGTTGGATAATTGACCTGTCCATGCTCTGCCCTCAAATGAATCTTTCTTATTACTTTAGGCTATATGCAGACTGAAGGTAAAAGTGTCTCAATTTCGATTCATTGCCCAAAGCCAATTTTTTTTGTTTACATTAGCTTTTAATGTGGCCAATATATCTCATATTATTCAGAACAGACCACATTCCTGAACTGACGCACATGTACAAAAGAACAACGATGTACTTCACATGCTCATCCAACAAACACAGCTGTCCTCCACCTGTCCTTAAGATTAATAGACTCCTTTCATGCGAAATCAAAATGAGCTGTGTGAACTGCTACTTTAAATTTGAAGGACATACAGCAGACACTAAATGAGACCACATTTAACAAAGTTTAGAGAAAAGAGTAAAAAATGTTGCATTTCTGTGCTTGTTTTATTTGTGGAACCTGATCAAGTGGAGAAAAGAGGCTCAGTTTCTTTCATTTACCTGCCATGAAAAAGAATGTTAGCAAAGGAGTGTAAATTCAATGCCAAAACGACAAAACGCAGGACAATGTAAAAATTTTAGACACCTGAATATTTAAAAAGACATATATTTGGGCATTAAGAGTTAATTTGCTTAGAAAAACACTAATATTAGAATAAATACAAATAACATTAATGCAATAATTAGGTATTATTTGTAGTCATCATCCAGTACCTGGTTTGGCAAATAAGTACTTTATGAGCTTCATGAAGTTTAAGCAGATTTGCTGGTTGAAATTTAACAAATCTCTGTGATGGCTGGGGGTATTGAGGAGAAATCTGGACCCAATCACAAGACATCAACAACTTTTTTTTAAAAGAAGAAATTTTGGTTACTTTTACTGTATTTTTGTGTATTTGCATTTATTCTCATGATATATGGTGTTTCAACAATCACCAACACACTTATTCTTGATAAATGGTTTTAGATAATGTGCTTATATGCTTTATAAGTCTTTTGCCAGTACTGTATTCCAGATAAAGACACTTGAATTGTGTGAATGTATATATTTGTACTACATAATTAAAGACTAGAATGAGTAAAGGGGTAGAGTGTGGTCAGTTCTGGGAAAGATAACTGGAAGGCAAACCCAGTATTATGTAAAACCCATAATTTGCAAAAAATCAAATGACAAACTTTCTGGTAAAGAGGGACATTTTAAAAAGTGATCAGAGGGTAGATCATAATGAACAGGCTTTTTCTTAAAGCAGGGGAGAGGGGTCTTAGCTTGCTGTGCTGTGGGAAGGCTGAATTCATGTGGTCTGTTTGAACACACAAGAAAGGAGATGGTTTTGAGCTGCTTTGAATTATGCTTTTAATTTGCTGACCGAATTCCTACCACATTTTAATTTTACATAATAATGGAGATACTTTTAGTATCAAGCTGAATGCATAAAGGACAGACAAGAATAGTTGTCATTAAATTATAAATAATTTTAGTTGGGATGTGCAATGATATCGGAATCAGATCAGTATTTTCTATACTATTTTTTGGGGGGGGGGCAGCTGAGAAGACCAGCTGAGAAATTTTTTGTGGCTTGAGGCTTGAATGCTAAATATGCACCAGACTGACACTTAGTTGTGGTTGTGTTTTTATGTTGACAGCATGTTTGGTTGCTTTTGTTTGGTCTCACTCATCTACAGCTCCAAGTTATTGGGTTAAGCTTTCCCACTTAAAACTTAAGGCAACATTGATAATGTAGGCTACAATAAAAATTGTGATTTCGATACAAAAACAGCCCTATTTTATTTATCATCTCTATCAGCATCGGCCCACAATTTCCGTATTGGTGCGTCCTTTTTTTTAGCCTATATCTGTCTTATTTGAAGACGATGGATTTAATATGGCAGTTAATTTAAAGGCCCCCTGAGTGTTATCCAGAAAAGTGAAACAACCATAACCAAACAGACTATTAGGGCAAATGCAATTGTAGTTTGATTAAAGTTTGACTGGTCTATCGGTTTGGATTAGAACAGCTACGCCTGGCTGTGCTTGTCTGGTTTGGTGCGTTTTGAAGTAAATAGTTTTACATGTGATATCTCATTTGATAGCAGTACTCTTTTTCACTCAGGCCGTGCTGCAGTACCTGTACACAGGTCATCTGGACGAGGGCCGGAGTGACCTGATGCAGGTCGCCACCATCGCCGAACTGTTGGAAGTGTTTGATCTGCGCATGATGGTGGCCAACGTGCTGAATCGTGAGAGCTTCATGAACCAGGAAATCACCAAAGCCTTCCATGTGCGCCGCGCCAACCGCATCAAAGAGTGCCTGTGCAAGGGCACTTTCGCTGGTAGGCAACCGACATTTCTCCAATCTCATTATTGTACCTACTTAACTCAGTGCCTGCCTGCTGTTATTATGGATGTTACTGCCAGTCATGGTAGGAGGAATTAAGCTACATAAACAGCAGTTATATACTGTAACTGAGTTTATGTCATACTATCTTCCAGTAGTCTACAATCATGAAGCACTGCTGTGTAGTTTGTAGGTTCTGTGTCATTTTCATCCTAGTTAATAAATGCATTATATGCAAAATAAGTTCACATGGGGAACTTGCAGTTCTATTTCCAGTTCCTATATTAAATGGAATTTGAATAGAATTGCTTATAATGCAGTGTTGCTGTTAATGTCTTTTTAGTCTTTTTACTCTGTTCTATTCCTCTGTTTTCCATGAAATGAAGCTTTTATGTTTTTGTTGTAGTACATGTGAGAGGTTATTTTATTTGTCATGTGAATGTGTGTGATCCATGTGTGATCCGTGTACGTGTGCTTTTGTGTTGTGGCAAATTGCTTAATGTTTGTGGTGGTCTCGTGTTTTGTGTGCATGCTATTTGTGGAAGTGACTAATCATCCAGCTTTTTCTGTCTTTATTACAAGTGCTATTACTAACCTTTCATAGCCTTCCTTTTAGAGATGCTTCCTCCTTTTTCACTTTCGCTTTAGAAACTGAACACTGTCAATAGTGGCTAATGGAAACTTTGATTGGAAGGGCACCAAAAAGAGAGAACACAATAATGGCTCAAAAGTAGGTTAGTGGTAAACTAAATAAGCGCCCCCAAAGTGGTCTGGGAGTGCTTGTTTAGTTTGGTGCATTTCATAGTGAATTAGGTATCATTTAGCATTTAGAATTTTTGACTACACTGTAGTCAACAAATTCCAATTTTTATGTTTTTCAGAGAGATACTGGTCAGAGCGTTTGTTTTTCAAGGAATAATTAAAGACTTTTTGCTTTATTTGGAAAATATTACTTAATTAACTTCAGTTTTTAATTGCAATTTTTCAGATAAATTGCCATAATTTTAATGCAAAAGATGACACTGCATTTTAACAGTTAATGTTTGGAGTCAGGATGGAGTGATACTTGCCTGTACCTACTAGGATCCAACTGATATGAAATATTTTGTGACTGATACCGATGCTGCTTATAAGAGGCGAAAACATATAATTTTATTTTTATATTTTAGATTTAATTTTTTTTACTCCAATATTTTTAATTTTACTGAAAGAGATGAATGTCAGTTCTCAATTATAAACTCAAATAAACCACAGAAGCCCCTCAGTTTTGAATAATAGTTAGGCTATAATAATATAATAGATATTGTACCACTGGGGGCAGAGATATCCAGAATTATTTTAGATTTTGTTTTCTGTTAATTGCCTGTTATTTGTCATATTTTTAACTTCAAACGTTTTTTCTGTTTTATATAACATACATAATGTGTATATAAGATTACATTGCGAAGGATAGGTGTGGCTGAAGGTTTTTGCAGAAGCATACTTGGTTACAATTGTTTAATAGCTGGTCTTGAACAAGTGATTGGTTATATGAGGTGTGCTTCTGCTTGGTTGCAATAAAATTTGCTGATACACCAGCCCTTTGCAGATACGATTGGTGACTTCTGGTCTGTTTCCTCTGCCACCAGATCACTAGTTCTGTTCCCAGTAATGTTGCAACCAAAAAAGCCATTTTATCAGCTGTATTTTTGCAAATACCGGAAAAAACAGATAATCATTTTATCAGTTGGGCTCTGGTTAGTGGTGGGCGATGTGGCAAAAACATTCTAACATGATATTTCAAGACATTTGCACAATACACAATATGCATCATAGTATTTTTTTCTGTGATTTGGAAATTGGAACTGACAAAACCTGTAGTGCCACATATACTATAACAACAGCAATAATAATAATGATAATAATAATAATAGTAAAACTACAATGACAGTAATTTATATTCAGTTTGTAATGAAACGTGGTTTAGTCGGTGTTCATCAAGAACTGACAATATTGATGATACGCTCATAAAAGCGTATTGTGTCATAATTTATCATGATAATCATAAAATATTGTCATATCGAGGCTTTTATTGTCATTCCATCTATGTACAAGTACACAGTGGAGCGAAATTACGTTCCTCCAGGAACAAGGTGCAACAAGGTGTGAACATGCAGACAGTGTGCAAACAAAAACTATCGGTTTGGATTAGAACAGCTACACCTGGCTGTGCTTGTCTGGTTTGGTGCGTTTTGAAGTAAATAGTTTTACATGTGATATCTCATTTGATAGCAGTACTCTTTTTCACTCAGGCCGTGCTGCAGTACCTGTACTAGAAACAACACAATAAGCTAGAAACAACACAATAAATATGCTAGAAACAACACAATAAATATGATAAATTAAACAGACATTAGACACAGTAAACAGACCAGACAGTGTAGCACCGCCACAGCACAGATTTCTGGACATGAGGTAGTGGAATAAGGTGCAGACATATTTAACATGTTGTGATCTGTAAGTTACGTCAGATAACATACCTATACATAGCAGTTACAGAGGTAGTAAAACAGTTACTGAGGTAGTGAAAACAATGTAAACACAGTGTAAACACAGTATTGGCAACAATGTTCCAGATAGATAGTGCAAGTAGAGCATCAAAAGAGGTATGTATGAGTGTGTAGGGTATTGCTCACTCTGAGCTCTGATACCTACTTACAAGTCATATAAGTTTATTTGGGACCTTCGATGACCAGCACAGGTTTTTGATTAGATTGAGGCTTCTGCTGAGATTTGGCCACTCTTGCACACTTATTTTCTTCTTATTTACCCCCCATTACCAGGCCCTTCCTCACTGTTTTCTGTCTTCTTATAAGCCCTGTCTATCTGTCTATTTATTATTTGTTTGTCTGTCTATTTGTCTCTCCGTCTGTCTCTCTGTGTTTGTCTGTTTGTCTTCCCCCTTCTGTAGCCCCGACTCTGTGACACACGCCAAGCTGTGTGCTCTTTTCCGACTGGTTTTAGATGTGGTGTTCCGACTGGACGATGGGTACCTGCCTGCCCACAAGCCTCTGCTCATCTCTAGCTGTGATTGGATGGCGGCCATGTTCCGTGGGTCTTTCATGGAGAGCTACATTGAGGAAGTAAGTAAAGATGTAAACTGGATTTATCATTGAGATTCATATCAATGATAAATCCGGTTTCTATACAGCATGACTAGATTATTGTCAGCTGTACACAAGATAAGCAAACATCAGTGGACTTGAATGGCCGGGACTTGTCAGCTTCTGTTTCACATTCCTATAACGTAAAAATAACCAGTTTGCTTTGTTTTGCTTCTAGTTTCTGAATGATAAGCTTTAGGATGTAAAAAAGCTGGGATTTTAAGATGTAAACTGCCATTAAGGACCAATGTCCTTACCCAGATTAAGCCTAGACTAAATACGATTTTTAATGCCAAAACGCCATTTGCGTTGCAACTTAGTCCAAAACTATGCTTAATTCATGTCCGCGAAACAACTCTAAATGTTCCTGTATTTAACATCCATAGAAATTTGAGCAGATTGATTTCAACCCTCACTTCCGCCAAAATTTTAGTAGCTCGGATTTGATTGAACATTTCCATAAAGCCACTGATTTGCCAAGGCCATCCTGATCCTGGATCAGCGTTGCCAGAGGCTCTATGAGAACTGGCACAGGTAGTCGAATCTAGGCCGCCACCACAGCAACCTGACCCACATTGCAGTTCCAGCAGCAGGAGATCATCACATCCATATGGATGAGTGATCCAGCCTGCTGGACTTAGCAGCTCTCTGAGGAGAACACTTGGGCTCATAGGCCCAGCAAAACAGTTTGGAATGAGCAAGAAGAGATCACGGGCCAGTGGGAACATGAACACAAGTGCGCACACATGCAGTCAGCTTCACGCTGAGAGATATCTGCTTTATGTCTGTGCTCCTGAAAGTCTGAGTCTTTGAGAGGAGGAATGAGAAGTGTCTGGATCGTGTCTGAACTTGTCTAGTTTGGAGGTCTAGAAGCACTGCTGAGAGCGTTAAGGAGCAGTGTTATGATTGAAGTTGTAGCAGGCCTGCAGGGAGTATAGAATTCCCTGGAGGACTGCGTTGCCAGTGGATTGTGGTCCCTGTTCAGAAGCATTCAAAAGGCACTGTTGCATGAGAATGTGGAATTCACTGTTATTAACACACATACCAGAAAACCTGTCTTGTCCTCTTTCTGTGGTATCTTTAGAGAACCCATTTCCTTTTGTAGGCTGTGTCACTACCATTTCTCAGTTTGTGGCCTCTCTGTATAATGATGCAAAGATCCTAAAAAGGAGGAGAGTGAAAATAGCTGGAAACTCACATATGAAAAAAAATACTAGTGATACATTGGTACAATTATATTCCGTTTTAGCTGTGCCTTGTGCCTTCTGGCCAGGTGGTTCTGGGTAACATAATTTGCCATGGAGGGGCACTCAGCAGGGGTTACTCAGTTTTCTCCATGAGCTGATGGATTACTTAAGTCAGGTCCAGCTATAGTGGTGATGATGAGTATTGTGCATGGTCTCCCAACTGAGCTGAGGTTCTTAGAGATGCTGTAGCATGAGAGGAAGTGGCTTCAGTCTTTGCCTCACCATGTGGGATCATGTGACACTTTACTGTTTGACAGGGTTCATTAGGTTACATGACACCTACATAAGCCCCTCATGACTGGCATAAACATTTATATACATTTATAAACACTTATTCCAATAGGCATCATTTATCAAAGTTTGTATTTGCCAACGTTGATCTTGACCTAACATCTAAGTCAGGTGACATTTATTTTGACCAGGGATGTGCATGGGTACTCGAGTGCTCAGTTAAGTGTTTGAGGTGCCAGTGCTTGAATTCTGAAATCACTGTTTCAGCAGAGGCAGATGAAGACAATATTAAGACTAAAAAAGACTGCTTGTATTTGTGAAGTATGTATGTTACCACTTTGCCACTCCCAAAACCTGAGGGCATTACCAACGGTGCGTTTTTAAAAACGCTCTTGAGAAGGCAGATGTAGCGTAGCTTTGTTGCAAACTGGGCTAATTACTTTGTCTGATGTTAGCTAGGTCCAGAAACAGTGGAAATATGTTTCTCCAACAAATTAACATGTTGGCACATCATCCATTGAGAAGAACATACCTTGTGTATGACAACAAGTCCTGAACAGCATCCAGTGTTGTATCAGTTAGCTGTAGTTTTAGGTCACATCTGAAGATGTAGCCTCCATTACTTAATCAACAGAAAAACCACAGATTTCCCTCAGTTTTGTTTTATAATAAAACATGTTTTAACCATATCCCTCTGCTTTCTGCTAATTTTTTGTTCCACTTGTTTTGTAAAGTCTTAACGCCAGTGCTGCCACCTGAAAGAGTAAACCTCCTGCTCCAGCCATATGTGTATTGTGGCTGTTTTTCAAGGATTTTCCTTCCCCCATGGTTAATTGCATGTCCGTTCGTTAACTCTTGTGGATACTTGATTACCAAAATTAGTTGGAAAGCATATCCCTAGTCTTGTGAGCTTATGTAATAGTAGCCTGAATGCTTTCCTGCAATAATGTGTTACCAAAATAATAGAAATTAAATAGGATTCATATGGATAGATTCACAATCCAGTTTGATTTACAATTCTGAGTTTTCAGAATTGTTGTTGAACAACCTATTAATGAGATTAGAGCTGGGAGATGGTACGCCTGGAGCTGAAGGTGAAGTGTATGAAACTAAAAATGAAGTTGATAGAATGCAGCTGATATTGCCCATGTCCACAATCCACATTGGCACATTTTTTCTTAGTGACGTGATGTAGTATCCTGGTGGCATGGTAACTTCAAAAAGACTTCAAGCTGTCTTTTAGTTTTCAGTTTCCAAAACAATAATCTAATATATCCATTCTGTGTGACTACACATCTTGATTAGTTATGAATACTGTATTTACAGACAGCAAGGCACCACAATAACAGGACCTCAAACTCTATGAGGTGGCCTCAGTATGACCTTAATGTGTTTTTGTTTTATGCATCGTTGAGACTACATTGACAGGAAGTCTGCATGCGCTGTTGTTTCCTGAGCTATAAAAACACAACTCACTTCCTCCCTGAACCTTTTTTTGAAATGAGGCATGCTCTACGTAAGGCATGCAGCTAGGCCTAGGCCACAAAGTATAAAAATGGCTAAAGTTAGCTCTATAGTAGCCTTTTCAGTCATGATCTTTCCTATATCGGAAGCAGTGACCTCTGATAACTTGCACGGCTTGCATATCACATTCTGCTTGGCCTCGACAGGCTCGATACAGATCAGCATTGCCCACATATGAAAATGATCTCTCATGAATTTAGCATCATGATTTTTTAATTTAAGACTATTAGTCAGGTAAGGTTTCACTGTATTCTGTTCTGAAGCGTGTCACATGCGCATTACTCTATCCAGGTCAGTATTCCCAGCACATGCTCTCCAGTTTCCTTGGACAACCAGCTGTCAGCTCGAGTTCTAGAAAGATGAACTGCTCAAGGGCAGGGCCCCAGGACCAGATCGGCCTGAATGAGATGGGGGAGGATCTTGAGGCATCCTGACCCATTGAACAGCAAGAGAATAGGATCGCCATGTATAGCATTACAGGCATTACAGAGAGCTTACCTTACAGTGAGACCAGGAACTGGTGCAAGAAATAAGATGCTGGCTCCTTTTTTATTCTTACAGCATTGGCTGGGATTACGCCTAAAGAGCAATGCAAGGTGGTAGAGAACAGAAGGACCTTGTGCCATTTGACAAATTTGACAAATGTTTAATCCTTGAATGAAATTGAAATATGTTAAATATTAAATATATTTAAATTAGTGAAGTGCAAGTTATGCACAATTTGTAATAAATACTACCAGGCAGTTAGTCTTCGGGAAAGCTTTATGAAGTATTAGATGCAAATTTTGGCAAAATGTTGTAACCAATAATGGACTGTCATTAGGATCCGACAGTTATAAAGTGGTTACTTATGGATCTGCAATCTGATTGGCTGAGCCATTCAAAGGCATTGTAAAGTAATTGATACACATACCTTTATGAGTGCACACATCAACTGAATTGCTAAGATCTTAAAATATGTTTCTTTGTGTGGTCTGTGGAATGTAGTTCTGAAAGGGGGTGCCAGACACAAGCATGTATATAAAGTAAACATACCCAACCCGTATTAAACATACAAGAATCAAGGGGCTGAAAACTGTACCATGTTCGTGATGATAGGACCAAAAACCTGCAGGGGTACCCAATCCTGGTCCTGGAGATCTACCACCCTGCACAGCTTAGTTCCACCTCTAATCAAACACACCTGTTCCAAATAATGAAGGCTTTCAGGAGCATCTGAATATGAGAGCCAGGTGTGTTGGATCTGAACTCTCCAGGGTGGTATATCTCCAGGACCAGGATTGAGAGCACTCATGGGCTACTGAATGTTCTGTATTCTACAGTTCTAAAGTTATTTTTCCACTTGTTTGTTTTCACACTGAAATTAAAACAAATATCAGTACTACGTCTTATCGCTTGCCTTTTGTGCCCTAAAGTGTATAATTTAAAAACATTTCCCAACTTGAATGATAAATCTGCTAGTTCAAATAGGACTCGTTGTTTTTTGTAAATGAAAATAAGTTTTTTCGTTTTTTTTTTTAAACCTTTGTTGGCTCTTCAGGCAGGCACCCTTTTGGCCCTGCGTTTAGCCAGGCACTCTGACAAATAACTGCTTTTATTCACATCTCTGGGATGGACTGCACACTAGTCAACAGCAGTGACGTGAAACCAGACGTAGACACTCAGCAGGACTTACTTTGAGCCTCTCACTGTCTGTCTGGCACAAGCCAGTGTGGCAACTGGCTGCAGCGAATGAAGCACTATTTTTAGAATGGGTTTGAATAGATCTAGGCCTTGTCGCTGTCTGTGTTGCAAGCATAGCACAGTTGTATAACCGGACATAATGCCGCTCAGAGGCCTCAAGAGCTGCAACTATTTAGAAGCACCACTTAGTTCAACCGTAGTCACCAATAAATGGAGCGCACACAAAAGGTGTGCTCAAGTGGTTTCAAAATGGAATAGAAAAACAGTTTATAATCGGCACAGTGTGGCTTCTTTGCCATATCAAAAATCCCAGGCTGTGCTGCTATTCTAGTTCTATGCAGAAATGTGCTAGGATTTTTGAAGTTCAGCTGTGTTGGGCAACACATGCTTTTTACACTGGACTGAGCTATATTTAATGACCTCACAACACCCTGGCACATCTGTGCCACTTCTCCTTTCTTAGCTATTAATAAGTCCTCTCTTATTTCATTTTTGGCAACACTGGAAACAGAACTGCAGGCTGGAGCAAGTCGTGGTGATTGTTTCTCGAGGTAGTGACTGGGATGGAGAACTAAATATGATTGAAATATAGTTGATCATATTTGAGAATTAAGTTATGATAGCTTTGCAAGACACGTTTGCACCAGCAAACGTGAGGATATCTCACTAGCTTCTAAAGGCTTCAAAAAACAGTTGAATACCATTTAAATGGGTTTATGTACCGTCATAATTGAGTTTTAAATGAATAACGCAGGTAGCGCTGCATCGGTACAATAGGATTTTATACTAATGCTGAGAGTTATTTAACCGAAATATTGGAAAAGCAGAAAACTTTTACACTGATTTTCCCAGGGTTGATAACTTCATGACTTTGTGTTGTTGATTCTTGTCATAAAATTATAAACATGCACTTTATTGCTGAGTTCAATAAAGAAGCATTCCCTTTATGAATGTCTCTTCCCACTGCACATTCAAAAACAAGACCTGGCCCAAATGTGGACTAACTGAACTATTGGTTTTGGTTCCAGCTCATTTCCCACCTGCTTGAGAATCAGTATTTAAAATTAACAGTTAAAATACAGTTAAAATGTCATAATTTAATGGTCTTTTTTGTCATTTTATGTCACTCTAAATCATCTGATTTTACCGTATTGGCTGTTATGAAATTATGCACTGTACTGTTCTGTGCACGCACTCATACACGTGTATTGCATTTATGCAGAATCATATGTATAATCAAACAAAGCTTTAGATTTTCTTTGTCGAGTGTGAAAATATTGGTAAAAAACACTTGTTCTTTGGCCACTAGCGTAAATGCTAATTACAGCTTCAAACACAAGATTTTGCCATTATTCCCAGTGTTTACCTGTTCTGTTTGTGTGTACTAACAAATGAGCTGCTTCCATGCTGATATTATCCTCCCAGAAGTACAGCCAACCTTCATGTATACAAACATTCTGAGATGGCCTGTATTCAAAAAGCAGTCCGGGCTGGAACACTCCTTTTAACTTCAGCGTGAATGGACAGGACCAAATTACTGTAGACTGAACAGACGGGTATTTGTAAATGCTTCAGTCTTCATGACATCACAAAAGCAATGAATTCAAAACAGTCTCTACCTCTGTGGGCGGAGCATCTGAGGCCAGGACTGCTGTTATGATAAATGATATCTGAGGCTACTTTAGCTTTACTTTAGCACTCTAAAGTGCCAGGCGGTATCTGATTAAATGTAGAGCTTGTGTATCTTTTTCTGTTGGTTACACTTTGTGTGACTGCTTGCGCTGTGAACATACGGCCGATGCTCAGGCGTTGAAATGCTTCTCAGAAACAGCATGCGTGTGACAGCATAGTTGATTAGCATGAGAGGAAGCTCAGCTGTGAGAACCTGTCAGATGAAGTGAAGAAAAAATTGGTGATCAAGAAGAATGAGATTTCTATGTATGATGTAGACTCTGGTTAGACTGTATGCAATGTAGGCAATCTACTTTTTGGTTGCCGGTCACCTGTTCCTCTTTATTTAATTTTTTAGTTATCCCTTTTGACCTCATTTCTTCATTCTGCAGTTCGATTTTTGATTCTTGTTCTTTTTTCTTTTTTTTGCATTTCGCTCAGGCCTGAAACAAAATGTTTAATGCCCACAAAGTCCATGCAAATCAGTGGGTTTGCAGGTCAAACCTTCAATAATAAATATGGCATTGGGTGCTATGTTAAATGTTCTGTTAATGGCTATCGCAGCTTATAGGTCAAAGCTCAAGAGCTGGCATACATCATTATCCTTTTAAAGTACTTCCATATCATGGTGTTGCATCTTTGACAGGAAGCTACCAGCTGTGTTCCTGGTTTACATCTTAACTCTGCCCTTTAGTCTTAATTAGAGGTCGCAGTCAGACTGACATTCTGCTAATTGGTCCAGAGTCAGGCAGGTGTGGTGCACCCCTGAGGCTTCAGAAGGACCCCTGAGTTGTTATGCCAACTTGCCCTCTCAGACCATTGGAATCTAACTTAGTCTTCTGTTCCCACAGACCTGTTAAAGTGATGTGAGTTTGTGCAAACCACGTTCAGATATTTGGATTTTTAAGTATTATACATGAGCCAGATGGCTTAAAGAGCTGTTCCTTAAAGGGGCATTTCAACTGAACATGAGCATTTAATGTTATTTGTCATGCTATGTGGTGTTCTGTTGTGCAGCATTGCCTCCCTCAGCCTCATCGGTTCATGATTTCATGATTGTGTGTCCTTTTTGTGTCCTCTCACTACAATACCCAGCATGCATCATGTATATATATCGTACAACCACTGGGAATCCCCTCCACAGGGACAAAAATATCCTGAATGCTAGCATAGCTGCTAATAAATAGAAATGCCATATTAGATTCTAGAAAAACATTTCAAAAAGCCCTCCCCACAGCTTTTTTAGTTGTTCAAGAGTTCCTCCTACCTTGAAGATACAACATCAGAAGGGTGTTTTCATGGTCTGTAAACCAAAAAATCTTGCTCTAAAGAATCCTATGGCGGGAGAGGAGTAGCTATGTTTACAACATATGTGGTAATGGTTACAATTTTAATTTTGACCCGGACGCCCCTTTAACCTTCCCACATGTCAGAGGTATCGATATGAGCTCTGGAACATTTCTTTCATGTTAATTTTCCACAAATAAGATAATAGAATCTGAGTTATTTAGGGTTATTGGAACATGTCCAGTCATTTATAAAGTCTTTGATGCAGGACAGTTCCAGAGGCCTAATGATGCTGATGCCTTGTTTGGCAAGCCAGTGGTTGTCATTGTGGTGCCAGCAGAAGTAAAGGATGCTTAAGTGTTTCTGGTCCCCGGACTGCTGGGAAGCTCTTGGTCCTCAGGCAGAGGCACTGCCAGAGGCAATTAAACCCTCTGCGTCCTGCCCTTATTCACAGAGAAGCCACTGTTGGGCTTGAGGAAAAGCGACAGCATGAAGAGAAGATTGCCACGGTTGGATCTGCAGGCCCGGCACTCTTTTTGTCCCCGCTAAAAGCTCCCTCTTAATTCCTTGGCCGTTACTTGGAGCTGGCGGAATAAGCGTGCCTTTGTTTGCACTCTCCTTTGAGCCAAAAGCAAGAGCACCGAAAAAAAGCCCTCCTCCCTTTGACCTTTGGGCTGTGTGGTTTTGGGAATGAATGCGGTAAAGATATGGGCAGATGATGTCATGTAGTTTCCAGGGGGGGCCCGCAGATCTCACCAGTTTAATCCAGATTCACTTGCTGTCCCCTTCCGAAAGAGTAGCTGCAATGTGGGCAAGCTCTGTATTGCACATTGTGTCCTACGCTACTATCTGACAGCGCTATCGGTCCTGTGGGCTGTCATGTTGGCGCTCATGTACGCAGAGGCCAGGTCTCCCATAGCGACAAGCCCACATGGTTATTTGTCCAGAGCTTTGAGTTGAGAGCGCCAATGGTTTCACGCAGTGCTTTTATCTCTTGAAGGATGAAAGACCACTTGCGGAGGCCACTGGCCCTCGCCCTCCCTGCCCTCTCCCCAGGTTTTTTCCTGTGCGAGCCCTTTCCATCGCTTATACTTCCCCCCACAGCCCCCTTGACCATTTGCCCACCCATTTCAAGTACAACAGAGTGCACATGAAGGCCCTCTCTCATGGGCTGCTGCCAGGACCACGCAGGCCTCGATAGGGGAGAGGTGGAAAGCAGATTGCTTCATCACTGGATCAATCTGCCTCTCAAGTTTCCATATCCTGGAGCTGAGCTATGAATAAACATCCAACAGCACTGCTTATGAAGTCTCTTCCCAAGGATTTCTTTGATGCATTCACAGTGGCTGCTTTTCTCCTATTGTTCTGACGACCCTTCAGATGTCTACAGATTTGAGCATTTGAGTAACAGTAGATATTTCTTTCTGTCTGATCTTCAGGTGTCCATACCCAACACCAGTACTGCTTGCATGAGAGCCGTGCTGGAATACCTGTACTGTGGCTTACTGACACCCTGCCCTGAGCTGGAGCCTATGGACCTCATAATATTAGCCAACCGTCTCTGTCTGCCCCGTCTTGTGGCTCTCACAGGTAGGCTGGTTATAAGTCAAATATCTAAAGATCTAGCCAGTTTGCATGGCAGCTATAAAGGCTATAACAAACTACTACTACACACTTTATCAAACGAAGACAGGAGCTACATAGACAAGAAATAAACTCTCCTGATATTTAATTGTAATTACTGTAATCCATTTGGTGTAATTACTGTTGTCCATTTATGTTGTCTGACCAACAAAATAGGCAAGATTTAATATACTTGTTAAATGTGAAAATCATACAGTCTTCATCACAGGACTGTACAAAGAAGTACAGAGAAACTATATACAAGTAAAAGCAATTAAACACGAATTAAAATTGGAAGCATAGAGACTAGAAAAAAACAAAGTAAAAAATGATCTACATCAGAACGTTTTCTGAGTTTTTATATTAAATTTTGATAAAGGTAAAAGTTTTCTTTGGGTACTGTTTTGCTCTGCATGTGCTTCTCTGCCATGAATGGAATAAAAAATGTTTTCTCAAAACTATAGTAAAACAATGTTTCAGGCATCATGCAATGTATTTGTAAAATGTCATGCAATAGCTTTCCTTGAGGTAGCTTTTAAGAGGCAGTAAATGTTTCAGGTGTGTGGTTCTTATCAACACTGTTGTGAATAATTCTGACTCAGTATGTTTCTCTAGAATGGCATTACAGCATGAGATGTTTATAATGCTAATTTACATTAGATGTACCTCTGGCTTCATTTAGATCTGTTAATGTTAACGGCCATTCTATATTGTATTAAGCTTTAAGGCTTACATATTAACACTGAATCATTGTGGTCCGCAGAGCAACATGCTGTTGAAGAACTGTTGCAGTGGGCGGTTAAAGGAGCAGACATTGATGGACAGGTGCTGGCTTACCTAGAGATGGCTCAGGTAATCTATTTAATTTGGGTCTGTGGCAAAACAGACCTTATTCAGAGTAGAAAGGCCTATTATTCTGTTAAACACACTGATTTGAATACTGAAGTAGCTAGGTAACAAAGAGAACACATTAATCCCCTGAATTAGCATTTATTCATAGCTCACTCTAATTCCAGTTCAAAGGATGATCAGTCGTTGCCTTTCAAATGAGCCCCATTGTTAAAAATCGCCATATGATGCCTTGTGCCAACTCCACTTCATCTTCTTTTCTGTGTATCTTCCATAGTTCCACAATGCCAAACAGCTCTCAGCCTGGTGCCTGCACCACATTTGCACCAACTACAACAGTATCTGTCGCAAGTTCCCCAAAGACATGAAGACCATGTCTCCAGGTACAGATCTAATACTTGCTGTTTGTCATACAGGGAACGTTCAAGACATGTTTAATTCTTAACTTTATCAATTGCTTTTGTTTAAGTAGTTGTCCTCTAAAACCTCTTTGCTTGTCTTTTTTTGCAAAAGTCAAGGGACCACTCTTTTGTTTGTTTATTTACCAGTCAAGTACAGGGCTACTCAGCGTTAGAAAAAACAGGAAACATATTTAACAAAAATTACACAAAGCATTCAGCATATCAAATAAAATAATAATATCAAATCATCGATATTTAATTTGTACACTCTTTTGTGGACCTCCTGCCCCTTTAACTTTCCCATCCTTTCAATCTTAAAAGCAAATAACTGTGTCCTACCAACAACAGCTGTTCCCCAAGGTATCACTAACATTGTTACCCTTCAAAGAGACTGACGTTCTCACAAGCAACTGCCCAAACACACCTTAGCTGTCTTGAGATTATATCTAGAGATTAGATTTAAGATAGTCCACTTGCATAAGGAAGGAGAAAGTCAAAGGAAAATAACTAAATAAACAAGATTTTCCAAAACCAGACTTCAGAAATGATTAAAGAATCAGAAAAGGCTTCTAAGACTAAACTTGGGAAGTGTGGAAAAATATCGCTGCAGATTTCTTTGAGAAATAGAAAGCAAGTCTCTTTAAAAAATGGAAGTTGTAATAAAGCATGAACACACTAAACACTGAAAAAGGTTTTAATGAATATGTTTCCTGCTTTTTTTCCTACACTGAAAAATAAATGAGTTAATGACAATTTTGGCTGGATATGAAAGAAATGAAAGTGTGGTCCCTGACATTTGCACAGTACTGTGTCTGTCCCTAACTCCAGCTTTTTTCCATCAAGTCCTCTGAGTATGTTCTCCCATTTCTCCTACAGAGAACCAGAAGCACTTTGAGAAGCAGCGCTGGCCGCCTGTCTGGTTTCTGAAGGAGGAGGACCGCTACAACCGTTCAAAGAAGGAGCGTGAGCGCGAGGAGGAGATCCTGCGCAAGCAGCACATCAAACGGGGCTGGTGTTTCTGGAGACACCCATCATCCTCGGCGCCCCACATCTCCTGAAGGCGCGCCCCTGTCCGACAGCTCCCACCCCAAACCCCTTGCCCCTTCTCGGCCTTGAGGCATGCAGCCGAGTCTGGGGAGCCCCATGTCCTGTGTCCAGTGTGTGCATCCTGGCTGCTGGAAGTTAGTCTGGGGCTGCTTTGCCTCAGAGCTTCTCCTTCCCTCTTTAAGCCAGGCTTTTAAACAGGCCTGGGGCAAGAAAAAAAGCTGTGGCCCCCTCAAGAGCCTGCAGCATGTCTGTGAAAGGAGAGAAGGATGAGAGAAAGCGTAGGCTCTTTCTCACTTTTTGTGTTGCGTGATTCACTGTGCTTATCCAGCAAGGTTGGAGGCCTCACCACAGCACCCTGTAGGGAATGTCTTCATGGCAATGATCTGCCTTCAACTCCTAAGACTGTTATTGTTATACAAGAACTACTAAATACACACGTTCTCAACCACATTCTCACCCAGCACCAGGCCTAGGCGCTGGCGCCCAAGCATGCAAAGTGCATGGTACTGTTGCAATGAGCTTCTTCTGTGAAACCTGTATCTGGGGAAAACAAAAAAATGAACATGTCCAATGCATACGAGAGCTGCAAAATACCTTACGCTTTGAATGCACCTAACAACTAAAACAGCGGCAGGGATTTGTTCATTCTTCAAACCAGAAAGGTAAATCCTGTGGTTCATGATTTTTGCCTCAGTACTGAACCACTTTTGCCTGTATTCTCACTAAGATTTTCTGTTTTGGATCTTCCGTAGCCCCATTTTTGGCTCTTCTTGCCAACTGTTTTTTGTTTTCCATTGAGGCACTATGTGGGGAAACTCCACTCAAGAATCCCTGTTGCTAGGACTTGTTAATGAAGTAGGCCAGGGGCAGAAACAGAACACTAAATAAACAAGTGGTGCATAGCTCGGGTCATTCACCCAAGAAGGCTCTGACGAAGCATCAAAGAGAGACAACTTGGGCTTGTTCAGATGATGAAAATGCCTCACCAAAATACGCTAAAGCAGAAAAGAAAAAACTTCACGGCAAGTGAGGTTTTAATTTAGGGCTTTTTGTAACACTGCCACTGGAGTATTAACAATCCCAAATGTCAGTAAAGATTTATTTATGATTAGAATGAGTTTTTGACCACTAGCAAGGTTTATTTTTTCAATTTACTTGCCTTTACATCTCCAAGCCACTAGGGGCACTTTTGCTTCCTGAGTTTACCCCTCTGTAGAACACATTAGTAACTATACCAAGAGCAGGTAAATTAAGCTGCAATCCTTGCCTTTTTCCTGATCTTTTTCCACTTGAGAATCCTTTCAAAGATGTTTTTTCTGGTCTGGTTTTAATTGCTCTCACTTCTAATACCTGCCTGATAACCAAAAACTAAGCTGTGATGTTTTTCGCCGCCCCCCACCCTTCCCCTTGCTAAGAACAAAGTTGGCTATTGTCAGTTTTGTCTTCTACCTCTGCAGATAGACTAAGGAAAAATGGATAGAGGGATGAACATGGAGTAGCGCAAGATTCAGTTCATTTGCTGTTCCATTTGATTCACAAAGCTGCAGTGTAAGGCCACACAGCTGGAGCCTCACTTTCCACTTGCAGAGAAAAATGGTGCTCAGGATTACTAACCACCGCAGTGACAGTATTCATACAACCCAGTTCTTTTCTCTTGATAGTTGTTTCTCTCTTGCTACTTGTCTTATATATCCTTTCCTTTTTCCCATGTGACAATCCTAAATGAACAAAGTTCCTGACTGTTCATGAGCTAAGGACATGTCTCCTTTTTCCAAGAAGCTTTATGGCTTTCAATTGAAAGGCTTGTAGCAAAATGGAAGATGGGATCTGTGGTAGTAGCTAATCTGTTCTGCTGAAGTGGTATTATAATGTAACATAGCTAACTGTAGATATATCTCTCCACTTGGTTCACCCATTGGAAAGTGCATTTTCGCTCAATGAGTACTTGTCAAACACGTTCTTTTGGTTTCTACCTTCTATCAATTATCTGAGCTAATCGTCTGAAAGGGGTGTGTTTTTGAATTGCCTTTCTGATCAGGAGAACAGGAGAGTGCCTGTGACAGAATGTGTTTATTTTCCTCCTCAAATTTAGTATAGAACCCTCTTTGTGCTTTTGGAGTTATTCTTCTGCTTGGGATGTGTTGAGCGAGGTGCTACATGCTACATTCCTAATGAGACATGATTTGGTAGCGTTTCACAAGAAAGTTATTTCTGGAAATTTTAGAAGTGAACGTGAACGTAGCAAACTGTTGGGTGAACTTTTTTTTTTGTGGCACCTTCCTCTATTTCTGGCTTTCTGATTTTTTCACCCCCTCAAGGCTGCACCCAGGTGTCTGTGGCAGCTAGCTGAAGACATACGATGCGGAAAGGCTTTCTCCTCTCTGGGGACATGTTGGAATCATCAACAGCTACTGAAATAGACGCGTGAGAGAATCTCACTGGGCCCAGGTGCGAATGAGGCTGATCTTTGGAAAGAAGGAACAAAAAAGGAAAGATCTGCAGCTTGGTGCTAAAACAGTTAGGCTCTGATTTTGACTAAAGGATTTTTCTAGAAACAACAGATGTCTGTGAGGGTGTTCTTCTTCATCTGAAAACTGCACTGTGTAAAAGTCACCCTACCACCATTCACTTATTTCCTTTACAGTCAAAATGGCTATTAAGTAACTATTTAGTTATAAATTTTATAGTATCAGGAAAAAAGCAGAAAAAATTGAACAGAAAAACATACATAACAACTAAATATAACATCAATATTTTGAGTGATGTGTCCACTCTTTGCCTTTATTACAGCTTCTTGACAGCTACACATCCTTTCAGACTCATAGTGCTGTGTTGTCCTCTCAGAGTGCAGGGATATGCAGGAACACCTTCGGATTTTTTCACATCTGAAGCAAGAGTGGAGCTTGATTATCTGTCTCTCTAAGTTGATGGTCTACCATTTTTAGGAATATATTTTATCAATATCTTTTAATCATTTTTTGAACTCCAGTTTTTATCTCCTGAAAAATGAATAACTTGTATTTAATGGCCATTATGACTGGAAATCGAAGGGTGAATTACCTAATATGTCAGTGCTACAAATTCTGTTCACTGGGTGGCAGTCAATTTATGTAGTGGTACATTTTAGATGAAAGTTGTTGGCATTCTAGATTTAATGTTACTATGCAGACTTTTTCTGCAGAGAATAAAATATTAGCTAACATTTGCTTAGTTAACTTTCTATCTGTGCCTCTAATAGAGTCCAAGATGAAGCTTTTCAAACTACAAAGTAAAACTGACTAGATCTCACAGACAAATCTATGGTGTTAGCCTCCAGGACGTTGTAGTTTTTGGAGATGGAATGCTGTGTTGCCTTGGTGGTTTTGGGCTAGACAGCACTTTAATATTTGTTTTCTTCTTGTTTCTTCTTCTTCTTCTTCTTCTTCTTCTTCTTCTTCTTCTTCTTCTAGTATGCCCTTGCACATTTTCTCTCTGATTGGGTCTGCCTTTGATGTGCATGGCAATGACTGTTTTTAAATTTCAGCTTTTTAAAAAGAAATGACATTTTGTAGCATGGTGTGACTTTTCTTCCGTACAGTGGTGGACTTTTTTAAAATAATTTTTTAGCTCCATGTAGTGCTCAGTGTCCGTGGACTAAGGGTCCAAGGTCTTTGTATAGTAACCACATGCTTTATTGTTATGCCTTTGCTAACATTGGATTTCGGGGACGTGGATTGTACGGTTATTGTTAGATGCGTAATTTATGTTGTTTGTTTAGGTAAAGGTGTAAGATTTAAGATGCGTTGTTTGGAGACCTGTTCAATAGCACTAACAGCACTAACAACTGACTGGCCCTTGTTCACAGTATAATTACTAAAACAACCTATGCACTTTGGCCCAAATTGTGGAAAAGAAGAAGTTAAGACACGATTTAGAAGTGATTGCCTTGAATCTTACATTGTGGCATTTGTGAGAGATGCACGTTTACAAAGGAAATGTGCATGAGGAATGGTCTGCAAAACACGGTTGCATGCGGTCGTGAGTAAGTTTGTATTACGAATCAGGTATGCACTTTGTCATTAAATAATTATTCTCCTGTCATGAGCCTATGTACAATACAAATATGTCAAATGAGTGTTACGTTTGGGGCAAAAAACCCTAAGGACCAGTTATACACTTTGGGGTTTTTTTTCATGTCCTTGGTTAGTAATCTCTTTTTTTTCTCCTCCATTGTCCTCCACAGGTTGCAGTAGTAATGTTCCGTAGGGCTCAGTAGTTTGTCAGCTAAAATAGAAAACTCAAGAGCTGTTCTCTCCTGGCATTACCTGTGCCTTTGATTTTTAAAAGGAAAAAAATCTCCTGTTGCCTTTCTCAAGAGGGGCCTCTTACAAATGCCTTTAGGTTTTGGATAATTGTAAAGCAGACACATACACTTAAATCAGGCAGCTGACCACTGTATTCCTCCTTCTACTGTCAGTGCCTGTGGACGTTATGTAGCAAAGCCTACTGTTCTCTGTCGTATTTATGCTGCATTCTTGTCTTCGCACCTCTTTTAAATAGAACGGTTCCTGCTCTCTCTTTGTTTTGCTGAGCCAAGTGGAAACCATGCTTAGGATGAGAGCTGTGATCATGCTGGTTTGACTGTGGGAGAGGTAGATCTGTGGGACACTCACACACCCACCTGACAGTATACACTGTCCAAGGATGCTGTTGCCCTCTGCAGGCCAGCCATAGCACAAATCTAGCGGAGTTTTTTCTTTGTGCTGTTACCCAAGCATCAAAAAATCTGATGACTTACATAGACCTACAAAAACATTTAGAAACTTATTCCACTTATTCCATGAGGCATCATTTGTCAAAAAGTTTGCTTTTGCCAACATTATTTCAAGTGTATATAACATCTGTCATGTGACATTACAGTCATAATGGAGATAACATGCCATAACTTGTTTGAACAAAAAAGTATTGTTTGTGGCCCTTAGGTGAGTGAGTTTCATTTCATCATTTATAACAATAAGGCTGTGTCACAAGGTCAACATGGGAAAAATGAACTTTCACTATACTTCAAGAACTTTACGTGATACACGATATGTTACAATATTATTTTAATAAGTTGGGAAAGACAAAATAGTGCTACATTTTAAAAATACATAGCGTTAAAATCCAAAGATTTAAATGAAAGATTTGTACTCAACATTTTACATATTGTGCAGAACTGAATCCAATTAAATAGGACTAGTTATGCTCTCTTTGTAATCAAACATGCTGTTGAGATGTAGGCCAATATCCATGATATGCATATTGTCACATATTGTAATGTAACTTATGATAAGGATAAATATTGCAATATTGTGTAATATTGTAATGTAACATCTTTAGCATTATGTCACTGTAATATACACTAAGCTATAAAGTCTGTAACCTGCTATTTCATTTCATCCCAAAAGGAAAAATAACTTAACACCAAAGTTGACAAGAGCAACCTTTATGACAAATGAAGCCTACTGGAATAAACCTTCACCAGTGTTAAAGTAGGTTTATGTCTGTTGTCAAGACAAGCTTATGAACATTACAGTAAAGTGTTATCAAAAGTCACATATACAATGCATTATGCACAAATTATTGAATTTTGGTTTCAAATTATGTTAAAGTTACTACTTCAAATTATGTTAAAGTTACAGTTACTGCGCAGAAGCTGGAAGTACAGACTGGCTTCCTCTTGTGCTGCCACATCCTTTGACTTTGCATAATGAGTTGCCTGCAGTTTTTTCTCCCCACAGATTCTAATAGCCTAAAACTCTTGCTTGATTTTGATTTTTCAAGAGGTTTGCTTGTGATTTTTGCTTTTGAACACAAGAAACTTTTTTTCTAACCCCCCAAAGCTTTCTTCCAGATTTAGAAAAAAGTAGACGCTTTGTTAAAAACTACTTAAGTCCTGCTTGTGTTTTCTAGCCAGTGAACTCCTGAGACAGAGCCAGCCTTTTCTTACAAGATCTACCACAAAGATTAACAATATGCAAAATTAATACGAAACATAACTGAAGTACTCTGGTAACCACTCTCACTTTCTGAGGAATTAGCCTTATTTCTCATGCCAATTACAACACATCACAAAACTGCAAATAGCATTGTCCATTTTCACATATGGTGAGGCCCTCTGTCTCAAGGCCATCTCGATGTTAGAGAATGGTCAGCAACTGCCTAAAAGGCTGTGATTTGACCCTTCTCCCTTTTTTCTGTTAATACATGACTATTATAACATTATGCACTTTGTGTTAATCTTGTTAAGCTTTTTAAGCTTGTATTTGTTTTCGAGAATTACCATTAATGTTCTGAAACAAAAAAAAAATAGAAAAAAGAGCACACATGACACATTAAGGGCTTTTTTTTTAAAAAAAGAAAAACAACAATCAGAATGTTTTTGCTGCTGTTGCAAAAAACGTTTTAATGAATCCTTTGTAATACTTTTTGAACCACTGTGATTTGTACAAAATGGAACAAAAAAAGTAGTAAAAAAAACTTTGCCGTTTCAGTATTCTAATGTTTGACTTGGCTTTTAATAAAATTTAAGTGAACTCTTTGACCAATCTTTGCTTTTTTGTGATTATTTTGTGAAATGTGTGCATAGCATGCAATGACCAGTACATTAGTAATCTTTGTATTCACAGTAGTTGGTCTTATGACACATTTACACATTTTCTGGACAGCAAAAATCATTGAAAAACTTTTGATAAGCAGCACACGTTTGTTTCAAAAAGAAGTACTAGAGCATGCAGTATTTTTGGGGCGCCACTTCCAAAGACTAACCAATAGAGGGCGTCAGAGATCACTTTAATGTTGCTTGCCAACTGCTTACCTTCCAAACTGATGAAATTAAGTATGCTTGATGAACTCACTTCCAACTTTCCTGACCAACTAGTAGCGGTCTTCACTAACATCCTTAACCTTTCACTTAGGCTGAAGTCCACAAATGTCCTAGTCAGGAAACCATCATTCTCGTACCAAAGCCATCAAAAGCTGAATGACTACCACCCAGCTGCATCATCCAGTGTGGTCTTGGCTCATGATAAAACCAACGTTTTCCCCATCTTGAAGGAATGCAAGTTTTCCTGCAGAGCAAGTAGACCAACTGAAGATGCTATCTTGATTACTTGCAACAAGCCCTAACACAGGCAGAGCATCAATACACACTATTGCTTAGTATTGAATATCATTCTTCCAAACAAGCTGGCTTTCAGATTGCACAACTTAAGCCTCAACACACCACTGTGTAATTGGATCTTTGACTTTCTAAACAATGTTGGGCTGACAGGCTGGGTACCCACTGTTCCTTCACTCAAAACACTGGCGCACCACAAGACTGCATATTCAGCCCACTACTTTTCTAACTTTTAAACTACAACTGTATACTCACCCGTATACAACTCCAGCACCATCCTTTGCAGATCACACTGTTACAGGGATGATTTCTAATTTACACAGAGAGTGCCTGTAAAGAGGAAGTGTCAACCTTGGGACGGTGGTTCTTTGCCAACCACCACATCCTCAAAACAAAGAAAGAGGAAAATCAAGAACACAGAATGAACTTCAGGAAATGAGTGCAGGCGACACTCCCACATTCACATTAATGAAGATGAGGTGGAATGTGTTTCCAGCTTGAAGTTCCTCAGTGTCCCTCAATACCTCTTCAGGGAAAAGGACACCCCTATACTTTCTAAGGAGCCCACTGGTCGTGATATCTACTGGTTCACTTCTGAAGGCATTCTGACCTGTTGCTTTGTCTACCCAGAACATCTTTGGGTTCCTATTAATAGCAATTGAGAACATTTACCACAGCTGCTGTCTTCAAAAAGATCCAAGCCACACATGCATATTTGCTCTCCTACCTTTTTGCAAATGTTACAGGGTCATACGTACACACACAACTAGACTCAGAAACAGCTCCTTCCCCTCTTCACAAATGGAGATGCTACTACCACTAACACTACCATGACCCCCAACAACACATCCTGAATGTTGCTTTGAACAACTCTGGCCTCACAACAAATCCCCAAAAATATTTTATGTGCAGCACATTTTAATGCACAATTACTGTTGTTGTTAATGTGCTGAATTTAACATATTGGGAAAAATGTGCAAAATTTACATCACATGTATTATTTTATTTTCTAATATTTTACCCTAAGCAAACACATTTTTTCTTTACTTTTTTGTGCACTAAAACCTGCAGAAAAAAATGACATATTCAAGTTTGCTCCTATAGAGCAGTTGTCCAATCTTATCCACAAAGGTCCAGTGCAGCTGCAGGTTTTCATTCCAACAAAGCAGGAGCTCACATGATCAGTTATCTGAAGACTGAGCAATTGATCAAACAAGTGGAATCAGGTGTGATTCAACTCATTTTGAATAAAAACTTGCAGCTGCACTGGCCTTTGGGGGAAAGCTTTGACACCACTGCAGAAGAGGATGTGCTTCATTTCTAAACTTCATTTAGAAAATCAACAAACATGTCAGGTGACCAGGGTGGTCAAACCTTTGCACACAACTGCATAGTGTAATCGGTAGGCTTACAGAGTAACAGCTGCCTTTAATAAATGAACAGGCTTTGATTCTTAACCAATGGTGAAGAACCAATCTTCTTGTTCCATAGCTGCCTCTGCAGCCTTCATCCATTCCTCAGATTGTGACTCTCCTGAGTTATCTGGCAGGCCTCTCTTCCTGTCTACGTCCTCCACGTCCTTTTCCTTTCAGAGTAGGCAGACAGAGGGCTGAATCAGCACAATGTGAGTGGCGTTTGGCCTGAGTAAGGCTTCACATGATGTATTCCTGCTCGACTCTCTCGTGGCACAAATGAATCAGATACATACTTTCCAGTCCTTGGCGGTGGCTCTGTGATTTTATAGGACCCGTCGTCGGCCGGCCTTTTCGCCAAAGTCACGCAAACAGGAGACGCACGACTTTGGTTGCCATGGCAAGGGTGTGTGATGTGGGGGGAATATGCATCACAGAGTGCGTAAGTCATCCCTAGGCTCTTCACACACACATACACACACAAATCCAGGCTCAAATAGCAGCACTTCCAGTAACACTTTAAGGGGGGAAGCTGCCACATATGTTTTATAATTGAGTCCGTTGCCTGGGGCCTGCTACGCTGTAAAGTTCGGGTCGCATTGATGTGTCCATGTGGATGGGTGGCCATGCGACCGCATAGGCACTCTGTGTGTGTGTGGGTATGTAAACACTAATTACAACCCTGAAGCTGGTGTCATCAGCTATGTGATGAATGTGTTCAATGGTGCCATAGTGCAGGCCGCAGCCTGCTCAGTGCCACTGTATCGCTGGCACAGATCCTGATGTTTATATTTTCCCTTATTGCATATAATTCACATCAAAGAGCACACCAGTGTTGAACCTGAGAGAAGATCTGATATGCGTTTGTGTCTCTCAGTGTTTGCGTACGTTGACTAAGCGTTGAATTCATTCCTTCAAATGAGTCGTTTCTTCAAAAAAAAAGAGAAATTTTGACAATGTTACAATAAATCTCTTCTACAACTGTTACCATATTGTAGTGTATTATATTGCACTTATATTCAAATGTAATCATGTAATTACATATTTAATTACATAGTGGGTTACATTACATTTAATTTATTTTCTTTATCAACAGTTTTGAGTCTGCGCTCAAAAGAAATAATAAAAACATGGCAAAAATGTAAAGGATATTCCGGATGCAAAGCAAGTCTACATACAATAATAACTTTTTATCAAATTCAAATCATAATAACATACTATTCACAAGCTCACATATTGTATCTATAGCAAGTTTAGAATCTGTACTTTCCACGCAGCTTGTTTCAGCGAGAAACAAAAGAGATATGATGCTTGTAATAACTACAGCTTTAAAGTGTTTAAAGCCTAAATCCTACATTTTCTGTATTTTATGTATTACCCTGATGTCCAGTTATGATGTTTGTGTAGTTTTATATACTAAAAACATTCATAATTTGTTTTACAAGACTATTTTCCAACCCCTTTTTGTTGTTGCACTGTTAAGACTGATATGTGACCTCTGTTCTGAATGGCTGTCCTGAACTGTTCCTTGTTCTAAAAGTAACCGTTGCTGAAATTGGAAACCAAAATCCTGAGAGATGTCAGAGAAAATCAGCTTGATTCACTCAGATGAGTTCAGAGCTTCAGATGAGTGGATCGGTTTCCTGACAGCCAGGAACAGCAAAACCTTTCATCTTTTTTCCCCATATCTTTTGCTCCAGCAACTCTGCTACAGCTTGTCTGCAGTAACAACACTTCATATCACTTTATCACTTAAATGGCTGTAGGCTGAAGGAACAATTATATGTAAATGTTCTCAGAGTTGTGGCATCACGACCATGAGGGATTCGAAACAGACTGTTTTCGCCGCTTTTTTGCATATACACTGTCAAAAAAGTACTGTGCAAGTGCATTTTTGTTCATCAAAGTACAAACAATGTAAATGTACCTTCAAAGGTACAACAATGGTCTTAATGTCCTGTTGTATACCTTCAATGACTTTTAAAAGTGCACTACGTTAATTTCCCAAGGAAAAGGTGCATATGTGTAGCTTTTCAGAATGTTTCATAATGTTTTGAAATAGAAAATCAAAAAATCAAGAACATTCTTTAAACCACTTATTGCAACTATCCTCATTGTTAGTGTCAGACAAAAATCATTACAATTGATCGGTCTGTAACAGGAGAACCGCTTGATATATGTCTTCAATTTTCACTCCACAGAAATAAAAAAAAGTGTTAAACAAACTTGACCTCAACATTGCATTCCTTCAGTATGCGCTCACAGTCTTACTTAAAGCATATTTTCTTCTGCTTCGGGAAGGCAGATGTTTTGCTTTCATTAAACCATCATAAATGTGTCAGCAAATGTCTGCAAGTTTGTATGTGACGTTGTCCAGGGGGTCATAGTCTGGAGGATATCACAGGGTAAAGATTCCCTCCTCAATCTATAATTCCTTCCAGTTGTTGTGCTATAAATGTCAGTTTCAAGGGGCTATAGGTGGCTTGAAGAACTTCACAGCACTTACTTACTTTTCATGTTTTCAAGGCTTAACACAAGAGTGTACCTTTCTCTCAGCTGAAGCCATAATTCTCCCAAATTCTTGTCCCATAAATATGTCGCCCCAAGTCCAAACCCATTACAGAAATGGCCCAAGTGCAAGCCTTACAAATTCCTCACAAGTATTGCATACCTACAACAAGAGGAGGGCCAGGAACTCCCCTCCTTTTTATTTAGCTTGTCCACAGTGCTGATAATGGTTTGTGCTTGTTTGGTTTTTCATTATGAGCTGAGTGTAGACAAGTCAATCACATGCAAGTAATGAAGTTGCATAAAGATTAAAAAGCGTCAGACATGCAGGAAACACTTGTTGCCATTTATTCTGTACGCCTGCTTTGTAGCTATAGACTGGTGACAAGCTAAAGTAAAAACCCGAAAAAGTGGAAGGAAGTGAGTGGAGAAACATGCTTCCAGACAGATGTACTGCATGATACAGTAATAAGAAATTAACATCCTATCATGCTCTGTGGCGTGTATA